TAACTGTCATGCAATCTCTTCTCTTTTGTGCAGAATCAATCAGCGGCATCAAATAATCAGTCTCAAGACCCAGATTTGTCGCAGTGGTTTCAAGAGCCTCCGCAGTAATTGCATTTGCATTTGTAGCTTATTGTGACTTAGTTGTGACCTGTGATGATGGTTTATTGTGAATTGTGATGATGGTTTATTATGAATTGTGATGATGGTTTATTATGCCTGTGACATACAATTATGCCTGTGACATATAATTATGCCTGTGATAATGCTTTATTATGAATTGTGATGGTTTATTATGAATTGAGAGGGGTCTGTCATACGGGACAGATAAGTAAAAAAGAGAGGTATTGGTCGCTTTGCCAAGTGTAACACTCGGCAAAGCGAGGCGTTACCGAGTGTCAAGCCAAAACACTCGGCGAAGAGACCAATTTCTGTTATTCTGGGAACCTTTTTTGCCGAGTGTTTTGTCTTTGCCGAGTGTATTCTAATGGACACTCAGCAAAGTGACCATAAAATCTGCCCGTTGCACGCTTGTTTGCTGAGTGTATTGGGCGTGACACTCGGCAAAGTGTGTAAACTTTGCCGAGTGCTTTGGTCTTGACACTCGGCAAACTTTAGAAACGTTACCGAGTGTTTTGGTCTTGACACTCGGCAAACTTTATAAACGTTACCGAGTGTTTTAGAATTAACACTCGGCAAAGTTTACAAACTTTGCCGAGTGTTTTGGGCTTGACACTCGGCAAACTTGAGAAACTTTGCCGGGTGTTTTTCCGTCGTGCACTCGGCAAAATCGTTGTCACCGTGCCATCTCGTTAACATTTTTTTGTCGAGAGTTTATTTTTGCCGAGTGTTTATTGACACTCGACAAACCGAGTGCGCGATAAAAAACAATCGGCAAACTACTGTTTGCCGACACACAGATGCCGTGTGTTGTATGCCGAGTGTTATACTCGGCAAAGCAGTTGCTGAGTGTTTTTGGGCCTTTGCCGAGTGCCCCTGGCACTCAGCAAAACTACTGTATCCCGTAGTGATGTAACATAGTCTCGTTTCACGTTTCAAAAACTTTGTTCTCAAACGAGAAGCAGAAACATAATAGAACATCGTTCTAAGCATAATGAAAACACATCTTCGACCAAAAGTATAAAGTGGAGCAACCAAACCGAAAGTTTATATGCACTTCCTCATTCTCGCCATGCAATTAGATTGTACGGTATGCTTTGTTTGTGTAAATACCATATAGGTGTTATGAAAAATATAACAATCTACAGTGAACAAGTTCATACTTGTTACCTCAAGATGTATTACCAGACCCCTCCCAGTGATAAAACATTACTCCCTCTGTCCCAAAGCTAAGTGTACACCTTACTACAATCAATCTCAAGTTTGACTAGATTCATAGAAAATTGTATTATTTTACATTTCTAAATTGAATTACTATTAATATATATATATGATGTGATTACATTTATATAGTATCATAAATATATTAGTTCAAACGCAGATCACTTATTCGCCTGGAAAAACTGGTGAGGAGAGTGGGCCGAGCGGTAACGTGGCGGTGGCGGGTACGTGGGGCACTGGGCCAAGAATTGGACGAGTCGGGCTAGTTAGGCGGCCAGGATGTTTGAGCCCAACATTGCGGCATCTCAGAAAATTTGCCAAAATCTCCTACAACTAAAAAGAACAAAGTATGGACATTTTTTTTGCGACATTTGTTTTGGTTCGTCCGTCTGCCCACGCCTGCGATCTCACGACATCTCCCACATGCTGCGTCCTTTGGTGCGATTCTCCTTAATTGAATATTGCCTATCATATGATAAAGGAATCACGGCAAAGTAGGAACTAGAAAATTATTGTGCTATCCATATATACATTGCATGTTTGCATGCACCAGCATACATGGCAACGAGCAAAAGGAAAGAGAATTAACACAGAAGGAAAAATAATTAAGACAAAAATAACATCTTTGTATTTCTTAGAACCTTGCCAAATTTGCCTACATTTAATTACTTCCCCTCTTTGCATTTGCAAAAGGGACAGCTTTTTCCTTATTTCATTTGGTTTCACGCTCACGTGTTCCATCGCCCTCGCTTGCTGTTTTTTGCTGAAATTGCCCTTGGGTCTGTTCATTTTGAATCCTTTCCTCATATTCTAATTAAACTACAAAATTTTGAATTAGGATACGAGGTAAGACATGTAAACAGATATTTCAAAACTACATGTAGAGTCCAAAGAACTTAATAAATAAATCCTTCTAGAGGCAATGCAAATTCTCTCTAATCTTTTATTTGGTGTAGTTAGTGTTATCATAGTACCCGCATGTATTCTCCTACAAATAAAAAGAACAAAACGTGGACATTTTTTTGCGCGACGTTTGTTTTGGTTTGTCCGTCTGCCCACGCCTACGATACCCGCCTGCTTTGAAGGAAACAAATCGATCACCTGAGACCACATGCATGGAAGGAAATAATAATCATGCATCGAAATCATGCTGCTCTAGAAGGGAGGTACATTGATTTTCTTCAAAGGATCCCCGCCTGCTTTGAAGGAAACAAATCGATCACCTGAGGCCACATGCATGGAAGGAAACAATAATCATGCATCGAAATCATGCTGCTCTGGAAGGGAGGTACGTTGATGTTCTTCAAAGGATCCCCGCCTGCTTTGAAGGAAACAAATCAATCACCTGAGGCCACATGCATGGAAGGAAACAATAATCATGCATCGACCCTGCGATATTTGTTTTGGTTCAAATCCGCCCACCCCGACCCTCGCGATACATGGCTAATAAAAAAAGAAAAATCCCCCCTCGTCTCTCTTGTGACCCGACGCCCGACGGCGCTCCCTCCCCCCGACGGCCGACGGCGCTCGTCCCTCCCGGCCACGGCGACCCTCCTCCCTCGCCGGCGGCGGTGGCGCTCCTTCCTCGCCGGTGGCGCTCCCTCTCACGGCGGTCTCCCATCTCCCATGAAGCTTTATGAAGCTCGGCCTCATGTGACAGGATGTGATGTAACACGGCACGGGCCCCTCGGTTGATCGCGTGGGGGCTAGGATGGACGCGCGGTAGGTACCTTCCTCTCCTAATCCCCATCTCTTCTTCTTGCGTTGGATGCTGGATGTGTGAAACCTATCTGAACGAGGAGCTAATCTGAATGTGTTGCACATGCTTCTTTGCCTGCACTTGCTGATTATGTGTGAAACCTATCTGAATGAGGAGTGAAATGGCACGGTTGAAATTGAAACTAAATTGAAGTTGAATAATTCAGCTCTGTATGTTTCCATGGCAGCTCTGTATGTTTCCCCAATGCACGGTTGAATAATTGAAACCAATCGATTTTGCCGATTATGCATTAGACATGTATCTTAGATATGTTTGGTAGATGATATGTATGCTGAAGCTGCTCCCATGGCATTGCTGTCGTACGTTAGATTTGTAGCTGCTGCATTAAGAACATGTGAACTCCGATCAAACATTGGCCCCGTTCAGCTTGCTGAAACTTGGCTGAATTGGCTGAAAAACACTGTTCTGACTGAATTGTTGTGAGAGAAAAATACTGTTCCGGCTGAAAAAACAAGCTAAATAGTACAGATTATAAGTTAAGCCGAACATGGCCATTGTCGACTTCGGCAGGTATCCGCATGAACGCCGAGTATTTTGGTCCTGGCAGAAGCATGCAGCTTCTCATGAGAAGAACAAATTGAAGCAACGTGTGTGCAAGCCATCTGCAGTGTGTGTGCATGACTGCATATACGCATATGCGATTAGAAGAGGTGGAAGTGAAAGAAACTGATCTAGAGTGCAAGTGCACACGACATATCTAAGATACATATATTATGAAGTAGCTCGTTGTCCCCTCCTGCCCTCTATTTTTATTTTTCAGATATATATTATGAAGTAATTAGCTTGTTATAAACGTCATATATTTGAAAATAAAAACGGAGGGAGTACTTGTGCATTTTGTGTAGAGCCACGCTAGCCTAGGATAACACTGCAGCCTGCATTCTTGTTGTTTTTGCATTCATGTGTATAACTTCAGAGGAAGTGTGCAGTGTGCTACATATAGGTTGTTTGGTCATGCACCACCGTGTATAACTTCTCTAATGTGATCGAAGTCTATTAGTATCCAGATTGCTATCAGTGGACGTACAAATTATTTGACATTGTATAATAAACTGAGAACTAGCTGCTTAGGAAAAATCTTAAAGAGTTCATGACAATTCTAATAGTTCTATTGATTTATTTATTATTTCTATCTTTACCACATCAATTCTTCTTTCTCTAAAACATACTTGATTACTCGTAAATTCATAGTTAATACATTAAGTTTTGGATTGTTATAGGTATATGCAAGGTTGTCGCTCGGCCCTTTCCGAGTCGGTGAGCCTACGACGCCGCGCACTCTGTGACGATGTTAATTTCACGAATTTTGTATTTTGGATTAAATGTCACTTTAACATTTTCACAGTATTGTTATTTTATCATGCGATCTTTGTGTTTATAGTACAAAAGTTTTACTGTCCCGTGGCAACGCACGAGCACGTTACCTAGTTTCCTAAAAAGAAAAAGAAAATTTGCCAGAATCATAAAACCTAGGATCACTCAGGTTCTGAACTTCTAAAGTCCAGGAGAGATACGTACAAACGTAATAAAGGATAGTAAGAGTTACGCACGCTGACACGATCACACGAATATGAATATGAGTTCTATCAGGTATGTTTTTATACAGAAGAAGTGTATGAACTTCCATACGCTGGACAGCTCTAGTAGTACACGAACGAGTCGATTACAGAGCACCAAGGAGACCAGTCAGACAGCTCTACGTGCACGCGTACTGTATGCCTGCATATATGCACGCACGTACCTTGTTGGATGCCAACGTCTCCTTGAACAACTCTTCTCTACGCTAAAGTCCGATGAGCGGCAGCGTCAACATGCCAACCGCCTCAGCTCCCTTCCGGCCGTGGGCGGACCTCGACGCCGGCCTCGTCTCCAGCATCGCCGCATGCTGCGCTCTCAAGGAGTACGCCTCCTGCCGTGCCGTCTGCTGCGCGTGGCGCTCCGCGCTCCCGCCGACGACGCCGCGGGCCACCCCGTGTCGCTCGCGGCCTGCTCCCACCACGCGCGGCGCTGGGCCAGGCTCCTGCACGGCGACCTGCACCGTCCGAGTCCGACCGGGCCGATCGGCGCCGCGGCCGCGGGCTGCCGCTGCGTCGGCGCCTCGCGCGACGGGTGTCTCGCCCTCGTCGCGGGCGACGCCGAGGCGCCCGCGGGGCCGCTGCTGTTCAACCCGTTCACGGGCGAGGAGATCCCGCTGGACCCGGAGCTTTACGAGCCCGCGCACGAGCGGGCGCCCAAGATCGTCTTCTCGCCGAACCCCACGCCGCTCGACTTCACCGCGGTGAGCCTGTGCCGGCCCAACAGGGTCGCCGTGCAGAGGGCGTCCGACGGCTGGTCGCACATCGAGGACACGGGCCCGCTCATGGACAGGGACGTCGTCCTAGTCGACGTGGCGTACAGCGACGACGACGGCAAGGTCTACTGCCTGGCAAAGGACGGCCAAGTGCACGTGCTCCACCTCAACCGCCGCCGCCGCTCCTGCCGCCGCCGGGTGCCACCCATGGAGGTGGGGCCACTGCCTAAACTGCCCCTCGGCGCCGTCGTCTTCCCTCCACCGTACGACACTATCTCCAAGTGCACGGACGCCAAGAACCTGGTGCTCTGCGACGGCGTGCTCTACCAGGTATGGAGGCGGCCCACTGGCGCTGGCAACGCGGCCGTCGCCGCGCCGACAGGAGGAATCCAGCGGTGGATCCACATCTTTGAGGGCGACGTCTTCGTTCTCAGGTTCGATCCCAGGAACTGGCCGAGCAGCCCATGCTGGAGCGTGGTCGAGGCGAAGGATCTGAGAGGTAGCGCGCTGTTCGTCGGCATGAACGAAGCAGCGGTGGTGCGCGGCGTGGGTGTGAGCGGCAACAGCGTTTACTACTGGGACGGCCCGCGCGGGGGAGACTACGAGGCTGTGGTCTACAGCTTGGCAACCGGAGCCTCCGTCCGGTGGCCAGCGGCGACGACCGGAGGCGTGTCGAGCCCCGTGTGGTACTTCTTGCCGGCCGGCGAGACCCAGCGTGAGGAACCGGAAGCTACTCAGGTAGAAGCCACGTCGGGGGAAGCAACTTCACCTGAACTTGACGAGGAGGAGCTGGATCATAGTGCACATTGTCTCAAGAAAACCATGAGCTCGCTCGGTAGGTTAGATTATTCTCTCATTTATTGTTCTACTCTCTGTGCGTAGAGAGGGAGAGCTACATCGATGTCTTTTGTTTAATATTTTTCATTAAGAGAAACGGCTCAATTCCAATCTAAGCATTATGCGATTTGAGTTTGGGAGTGGAGAGTTTTTAGGTAGGGTTCAATACTTCAATGCGTTAGCATTTATTTAGGGTCAACTAAATCAGATCACCAGTTCTAATTAGAATACCTAACTTAGACTCTCGGGAATGAAGAGGCCTAATCGTGATGACCCGTGCCTACTTGGTGTAGGCGCTAGTGCAGAGTGTCAGAGCAGGGGTCACCGTAGTTACTCGGGGCACCGAGTCGTCCTTGAGGCATTGTCGGTGATGCAGCAGAGGCGGCGGCCTTCCTATTTAGGCGTGGCTAGAACCGCACGGGAACGTTGGTTCCATGATAAAGCCTAGAGGACCTTTTATAGTAGAAGTGCCGCACAACGAGGGGGCCATAACCGGGACTGTTAGCGACTACGATCAAGTCGTGTACGTGGGAATTGTCCCCTGCCTAGAAACCATTGCCGAGATTAATCTAGCACAATGCGCTTCTTGGGCTTATAAAGGTAGGCTTGCGCTACAATGGAATGGATGTGGCAGTGTGGACATGTACAAATTACTCCTATAAAACACTAAACAGTGAAGAGTTTAAATCGAGGAACTTTCCCCACGTTCAGCATGAGAATCTCATCAGATTGTGGAGTAAGATATATCACAGCTTCTACACCCAAGGGTTATATCATATTTAGATCACATGGTCTAAAGTCTAGTTTGTTAAAATTAAGGGCTAAATTTTAGGCAACTTTAGTTTACTGGTGTGGTCTAATGAATTAATGGGTTTCTTTTAGATTGACTAAACTTTAGGCAGTAGTTTAGACCATCTATTTAAAGCATCAAAAGTTAAAATGGTCTAAAATTTAGTGGTTAAACTTTAGACCAAAGAATCTAATTAAACAAGGTCTTAGTATGGTATACTAGCTTGATATTTTTTTGGTAGAGATTCGAAGGGCAAAGTCTGACCGGATCCGATCTAAGGACATAAGGATTCAAGTTTAGGCCCCAGACATAGAAAACCTACGTCCTAGGTGAGTTTGTGCTTTGGTGAAGACGCTAGGGCCCCTCTCAAACCTGTGGAAGAGCCCGAGGGTGTGCTAGCCCCGGTGCCGATGAGGGAGGTGGGCTCGCTCTAAAAGTGTATTAGTCTAACTTTTAACTGTGACCATAACAATGTATACCGGTTTAGTGAACAACAAAAAACTTATATCGATTCTTTCGAATTTTATAGCATCTTGGAATACTCCTTGCGTCCCAAAAAAAATGTAATTCTTGCTTTTCAAGGAGTCAAATAATTTGTAATTTTACCAAAATTATGAAAACACTAACATTTATTATACAAAATAAATATCATTAGATTCATTATGAAATATATTTTTCGTAGTAAATCTAGTTAGAGACATAAATTAATACTATTCATCCAAACTTAGTTAAACTTAAGCTAGTTTGACTGGTATAAATCTCGTAGTTACATTTTTTTTTGACAGAGTGAGTATAACATCGGCTCTAATTAAAGGGAACCGTACCCTGCTATTATTGAGGTTTGGGCATTGGGCAGGGTAATGTTGTCGTTGATTGCCTTCGAAGTAGTTGGTATGCCATCCCTTGGGTCGCTTTGGTTGACGCAACTAATTTGAAAGCAGGATGCCATAATAGACCAGTGAGATTGGCGTGTCCACGACTCCACATACCACCTCTGCTACCCAGAGCTTCTCGCCCTTCTCCGGCTGTTTACACTAGAAAGCGCTTTTAGATCAGGTACCTCCCCTTTCAGCTTGTTCGTAATTTTCAACCTTGGAGCAATCGACCTCCCCCACCAATTACGCAGAGTAAAACTAGGACCCGTAATTTTCAACGTTACTGTCTTGTTCAAACACACACGCACCCGACCATCTTAATTAAGTTTGGTATCTTGGTATAAGTTGGAACTTTGTTCCCTTATCTAAAAAGGTTAAGTTTGGTATCAATGGTAAGCAAGCATGCTTGCATCAGCCGCAGGCAATTCAACGCTTGTTGCTTGGGACGGATCTCAAACTAATAATTTGGCATTGCTAAATGAAGCAATTGATCATGCATTAGTTGTGGATGACGACTAAACCAAAATAGAAGGATCACTATACCAGCCTGGAACTGTTGATGGTTGAGATGTTGATGCATATATACCTCCTTCCATCCTGAAATGTAAGGGCTTTTAGTTTGTCTTAAATTAAACTATCCTAAATTTGACCAAATTTATAAGAAAGAGTATTAACTGCAGGATTTAAATGGGCTTGGCCCATTTTATATTCAATTAAATCAAATAAATTCTAAGGCGCATACTAAATGAGGTGCAATAATGTTTAGTCCTGCATGGGCTTTGTAGAGCCAATGATATTTCTATCTATGTAGGGTCGTCCGCCATTCCCGTCCGGGGTTGATGAGGACATGACATATAGGAATACGAGCATTGACTATAATAATGTGAATTTGTTCCTATGTTTGCAAAATGATATTAGTAAAAGAAGAACAAGAAGCTTGGGGCCTCCATGGAAAGCATGAGGAAGAAGCAGCAGCATCTTTGGGAGTCCTCTCCTCTAACTCTGGCGGGGTTGAGGGTAGGGGCGAGGGGGGCCGTTGTCGGACTGCTTCTCCAACATGATGAGGTCCTCCTCCTTCTCTTCTCTTTTTGCTTTGTGGTTTGTATGTGAGAATGAGGGTTGGAGAGGGAGGTGAGGCTGGTGGGCTTTTGTGAGTGAGAGGAGGGCCTGACAAGTGGGGCTAGAAGAGGTAAAGGGTGGATAACACACCACCCTGCACATTATAGGTGTCATTGCGTGCTGTCAGACTGTCCGACGTGTAGTATCATACCGTCCAATAAGGTGATGTGCTTTGAAGACTTGTCAGTTCTATCGAGGTCTTCACAGACTATCCGACAAGTGAGGTCAAACTACCTGACAAAATTTGATGGAGCCTAGAAAGCGTAGAAATTGATATGCAAGTTTATGAAAAGATGAGATTAAGATGCGGATTATGTTCATGGTGGTTATGACAAACAAATTGGCATGCCTGTTACAATAGTGTTGACAGTGCCAGACACGGTGTCAACACAGCCGCATCCACAGCCTTTCACCAAGACCAACAAGTAGGATAATGTAAGCCCTTCCTACTTTTAACCCATCGCTCGTATGTTAACAATCTTAACGGGTTCGGCTTCTGGTTTTAGAACCTTGGTCAGGTGATTTCCTAGGTGAAGCTACTAGAAGACAAAGAGAAGCGGGGCGTGGAGGCCCAACGAATCGCAGAGGAGAAGAGGCGACGGAGGGAGAAGTGGGATCAGGACCACATGAGGTCTACGCAAGGTGCGCCACCTGCAGAATGCTCGGCGAGGTGGCGTCTGATGACACCTTGTGCTCGAGCCAGGACATGTCAAATGACGATCGCATCACTAATTGTCATGAGGATGATAGGGACGAAGTCGGCCAGGCGGTGGACTAAAATTAGGTCATAAGAGAGGACAATGATGGGGGACATGGTGACGCGGAGACATTGTCTCAACAAGCATCACTCAAAATGGGAGCCCTTCGTTGTGGAGGTGAGTGGCCCGAAGAGGCCGCATTCTAGGGTGGAAGAGGAAACAGATATGAGAGTATTGTTTGTTGTTGATATTTCTTATGTCTACTGGATATTTCCGCACGCACACAGAAAAATTTGAAGTAAAACTTCGCTCGGGAGTATTTCAAGTGTGGTATTTACAATTTTCTAAAGGAAAGTGTATGGCTAAGATGATTGATAAATATGATTCCTTATGATAAAGTTCTCAAGCAATTGCACAACATTAGTCGGGGGGTATACGATTGACGCGCGTTGCTTTAAGGAATTAACAATAAGGTGAAGGTAAATGATCATTATCATGGTGGAATAATGCAGAGGATGGATAGGGCCATCACCACCCACCACTAATTATCTAGAGGCCTAGCCGTATCCACAGACAAGTTATACCTAAGCACCACGCTTAATCTATGAACTCATTACTTTGATCTAGCTCCGATGAAATGAGATCAAAGCACCCTAACCTAACAGTAGAACCTGTACAAGGTAAAACCACTCTAAACAAGGTAGTTAACTAATCTACCAAGCTTAGAACAAAGCTCCAAAGCACACTTAACTAAGTACGTAAGCTTGAATAAAGTACTTGAGTAAAGTAAAAATTATATTCCAAATAGAGTAAGTGTAAGTACAAAAGAGCTACACCAAACTCAGAAATGCTTCTTTCAAACTCTGAGGAGAGCTCTTGCTCTAACTCTATCTCCCACTGCTAGCCTAGCCACTATAGAGTGGACTACAGTAGTGGAGGACTCTATCTCCCACTCACTAACTATAGCTTTCTCTCTTGAGCGGTAGTGGAGGACTCTATCTCCCACTGCTATCCTAGCCACTATGGAGTGGACTACACTAACTATAGCTTTCTCTCTTGAGCGGTAGTGGAGGCAAAAAAAAACCAACTCCAGTAGACCCCCAGATTTATTGGCCTCCTATTTCCCCCTCCCACTACCCATTCCTGTTGCCCCCTACTCTTCGCTACCCAAATTTTTTCTTTCAACCGTGACTCCTCTCGATGTTTTCCTCCGACCGCTACCTTCTCTTCCCTCAGCGTGGGCCTGTTCCCCGGTGCGGCGGCGTGCCCTGGCACGGCAGACGCGGCCAACCCGGCGCGACGACCGTGACTTCCCTAACGTGAACTTCCCCGGCGCGACTTCCCCTCCGTCTGCCTCTCCTCCTCTAGTGACTTCCCTAGGCAGTGCGAGCACCTCCATGCGGGCGGCGCGCAACAGTAGCGACCTCCACGCTGGTCGGATCTGTAGTGCCTCGCTCTCCGGTGACTCCCCTCCCCGCGAAACCTCCTCCGGCCACACCCCGGCTCAACGACCCTTGCTGACGCTGATTTGTGGCGGAGAGAATACAGAGGATGACGTATGGGTCCCACATGTCATTCTCTCCTAGAATGAATTTGGGTAGTCTGGTTTGGGTAGCATTGCTGGAGCAAATAACAAAAAATGGATAGTATTAAAATAGGTGACTACACAAATCAAGAAGTAGGGGGTCTGATTTGTATAGCACCGTTGGAGATGCTCTTACTGCTTTACTCGTCATCTATGATTCTAGCCTCCATCGATTAACTATATCATGAAAACCTCCTTATGTAGGGAACTTCGGGCCATGCTAGCACTCGAATGTCCAGACCCACGCGCGCGTCCAGACACCGCGCACCCGCATGCTGCTGCGCCTACCCGCGTGCTTCGCGCGCCCGTGCCTGCTACTGCTTGGTCCGTGCATGCTGCTGCTGTGCCTGCTGGCTTGCTGCGCCCCGAGTGTGTTGCAGCTGCATGCAAGAGAGAGGGTGGGAGCACAGCGCGTGTACCTGTGTTGACCCAGACTGTATGCTCCATCGGAGGGGACCAAGCCTGGTGGTCAGGGCCGCCTGGTTCTGCGTTAGTTCGGTGTTGGCTTGTTCTGGCGCTCTGCATGCGCACATGCACTTTGGACTAGGGAGTGCTTGGTCATTTGGGCACTGACCACCCGTTGTGTGGACGTCCGACTATTGGAGTTGCCCCGCATGACAGTGATATGCAGCGCTGGATGGGTGCGTGTAGCGCGTGCGTGCCCGTGCGTCAGAGCGCGTGGGGAGCAACACCTACTACAACATAGTGAAACCAGGTGAAACAATTGAAACAAATATTTGCAACATATGTGTATAACCACTACAACATATAACAACATCCAGATAAAAACACTTGCAACATACGTTTGAAATAGGTAAAACATTTGAAACATACACTTGCAACATACATGTATAGCCACTACAACATATGCAACATCCAGATGAAACAACTGAAGCGTTTGAAAAACACATGCAACATGCGTGTATAGCCACTGCAACATATGCAACATCCAGATGAAATAGTTGCAACATATGTTTGAAACAACTGAAATATTTGAAACATACACTTACAACACATGTGTATAGCCATTGCAACATATGCAACACCCGATCTACTTTGCAACATCTAGATGAAACATATGCAACATACATCTGAAACACATGAAACATATGGTTGCAACATGTGCTCATCTACTTAGTGCCGCTCAATGAAGGCTGATGCGGGCGCGGGGGAGCGAAGCGCAAGGTGAGGGCGGCGCACGACGCGCGGCGCGAGGCACAAGTGGGGTACATGGCACGAGGCGGGTCCGCGTGAGGTGCAGGGGCGCGTGGCTCGAAGCGGGGTCTGGCGCGAGGCGCAGTGGTGCGCGGCACGAGGCGGTTCCGTCCCAATGGAAGTGTCCAATTTTTTTTAATATAATGGGCCGGTCAGACCAGTTCCGTGGGCCCAGCGAAGACGCGCGTCCAGCGGTAGAGATCATTGAAGTTAGTTGCTCTAGAACCTAAAAGCTAAGAGCATGTTCGGCCGGTATTAAAGTCGGCTAATAAGTTGCCTAAAGCTGATTTGTTGTAAAGAAAAAATACCGACCGATAAGCTCAAGCTAACATGCCCTTAACCCTAACATGCTCACAAGATCGAGTGAGCTTTGAACGTAACTGAGATTTCAGTCTTCTGTAACCAATAGGACGCGTGGAAATGCGAAGGGAGGATTTTTTTTTTTGATACGGTTACTGTACCATTAGATTGCAAACCTACAGACCTGATCACATCTGGAATCAACCCTGTGTTTATACCACCCGTAAAACCCCTCTTCCCCACTCTCTTTCTTTCTCTCTCTATCCTCCCTAGTCCCCTCCTCTTGGTATCCGGTGGAGCTCGTCCACCTCCGGCCAAGATCTGGAAGCAGCGAGGGTGCCCGGCGGTTCTCGTCCCGGCCCCCGACTCTTCCTCGTCTCTGCCACCCCTGGTTCCTCCATCTAGCCCCCGCAGGATCTGGAAACTGTCGAAATTGAGTCACCAGCGCTCGTCGGGGGAGAAGCAGGCGGCACATCCAGCGCGCTCAACCTCGCTCATCCGACCTCACCGCTGAGCCTCCGCAGGGATCTTCACATCCCCATCCCATCAGCAACGTGAAAGAGAACAGGTGACGGGGTTGCCAAGCTACATACCCACGACGCCGGCTGCCGAGACACCGCGCACGATCCTGCAGGCATGTACTCCTCTGCTCTTCCTCTTCGCCTCTCTCTGGTTTCTACGCCCGCCGTAGAAGAAGAGGCACACAGAGTGCTACATTAGGTAGGACAGGAAGGAATTTGGTGGGTATTTTTGCAATTGCCAAAAAAAAAAAAACCGTTTCTGCAAGAAAACGAATTGGATTAAATTCTGAGGGGAAATTTCTAGTGGCGATAGACTGGTGCCCAGTTCTTAAGCGATCTGTGATGAGTGAATGTTTAAAAATTTCGAGTTAATTTTGTGCAGAGAAAGATGATCGATGTGGTTTTTGTACCACTTCGCTGTCTGTGAAAGCCCGCTGTGGTGACATCAACATATGATGGTGCGCAAGAGATTGGTTTATAGATCCCGTGGCCGTCGAATTCCAACCATGCCACGTGTTCCAAACTCAGCTCGGGTACATGTTCTTTGATTAGGTGTTTTTCTTTAACCACAATTTGCCCACTGAATCCATCTTAACAATCAATTGTAATGCAGGGAAAACGCTCTACCAGAAGAAAGAAAGATGAGAATGATATGTGTGCATTTGATTTGCTCGCAACTGTGGCAGGAAATTTATTAGCAGATCAGGACAATTCTTCTAATGTTCCTAATACCAATGCAGCAAAAGCTAAAAAAAGGAAATCAGTTAAGGAAGAACACTTCAATGAAATTCTGCCTCTAAAAGATGTGGCTATGGAGAAAGATGTAGGTTCTGGTAGTGTCAGTGCCTTTCCTAGGCAAGCTAACAACTGCTTGGCAGAAAACTCGTCGACAAGAAATGGAGCTGAATCAATATTAGAGTCACTAACAATGAAATCAAATATGTTAGCAAAAATTCCTGAGTGTGGATCTTATGGAATACACCATCCAGGATCCTCAAGTTCAGCAGAGCCTGAACAAGTGCAGCAAGCTGAACCTAAAGTGATCAGAAGACAAGCAGATGGGCATGCTGTGGCTTACGGTATATTTGACTCCGTGGATGTGGATGGCAAACCTCCGGCTTTGGTTAGTTCTGACAGTAGCTCGTGTGTTCCTCTGAGCAGCCATGACAAGGAACATCAAACCTCTTCCTTGTATCGGGGTGAAGTGCAGTATACTGCAGATAGAGATGATGATGAAAATTCTTCCGGTGCACGATCCAAGCACCATAGAAAATAAGGGTTGCAAACCACAATATCTAGGTAACCATAGGATAAGGAAATTGCTTGCCTCAAGGTAAGGAAGGCAGCACGTAATAAGATTTGTGGAGGATTCCGTCAAAAAGATCTGTGGAGGGTTGTCAAACAAAGGTATGCCAATCCCAGTGTTAATGTTTGTTTTATCTACACTACTAAATGATCCATAGCTGCCATAAAGACAACCATGTTTCCATTTGCTTCTTTCTACTTTCATGGTTACTAGTCAATCCAGGAATTGGACTAATCAAGGGCTACCGATTGTCTTAATCAACTAGGTAGCAAGCTAAACTTATGTGGGAAAAAGATATCCACCACACGTCAAAAGGTGCAAAGGACGATTTTCAAGAAGAAAAAGCTAGCACATCATACGACATCTTTTGCTAAAGAGATGCTAACTGAAGGTATTTTGTACTGTCAAATCACATTACCTGGTTATTTGAAGTCCTTAGTTTTTTAGGATTATGCAGACACAAAGTTCTTATATCGCACTGAGTCAGTCAAACCCAATCTTCCACATGGCATTGATGGCCTTAGTCCTTGTTTTAATTCTCTTACTAAAAGAAAATGTCGCTTGCCGTTTCAGCTAGCGGGACATCGTTTGCTACTGGTGGTCAAAATAAATCGTGTGAATCTGAGAACTACCATGGTATTCTTGGATACTGTAGTGGTATGTTCGTTGCTGTTGACCTGTTGAAACCATTGCTTATTATTTTTGTTTTCCTCTTTTCAGTTAAGCTAAGAATCAAGTCATTCAACATCCCAGAATTGTTCATTAAGGTCCCAGAAAATGCAACCATTGGATCACTTAAGGTAAACACTACATGGGCATACACAAGTTATTGATAAGCAATCATGCATTCATTTGGCATCCCAATCTTTTTGGTGTTGCTGCTGTTAATTTACTATACAATATAATTGATGAAATCTGCAAGGCTGCAAGAGCGCACTTAACTTGATGGATTTATCGTTTCGTTCTTGAGAGAAGGTATGCAGCGTAAGATTATAGATTGATTTGGGGTTACATGATACATGTACATATATAGGTAGAGATAGGGGCGGCTTATGGAAACAGAACCGACCTCGGTATCTCTACCATATACAACTCAATCTACACCCTTGTTGGACAAGAAATCCAACGCAGGGCAGCTACAAGGGCTGGCCGCAAGGCCCAGGCCAAGACCAGCCATATACGGATATGGCTGTCTAACATGCCCACGCAGTCGAAACACTGGTGCTGCGGACGTTGAGACTGGATCTGAATTCCTGAAAAACCGAAGAAGGCAAGCCTTTGGTGAATATATCAGCGTACTGCGAGGATGTGGGCAGATGCAGAACTCGAACATCACCAACAGCAACACGATTACGGACGAAGTGGAGATCAATCTCAATGTGCTGATGTTGGACTGGATTGCTGGACATATAAACTGCGCTAATGTTATCACAGTAGACCAAAGTGGCACAATGCAAAGGATTGTGAAGCTCCTGAAGGAGTTGGTGCAGCCAGGTGGCTTCGGCAACAGCATTTGCCACGGCGTGGTACTCAGCTTCCGCACTGGATCGAGATACAGTGGTCTGGCGCTTGGATGACCAGGAGATTAGGTTGCCGCCAAGGAAGACCGCATAGCCGGAGGTAGACTTGCGAGTATCTGGATAACCGGCCCAATCAGCATCTGAGTAAGCCACAAGATCTGTCTGGGATGTCGGGCGAAGAAGAAGACCCAAGTCAAGTGTGCCCCGAAGATAACTCAGGATGCGCTTGAGGGCAGCAAGGTGTGGAAGTATCTGGATAACCAGCCCAATCAGCATCTGAGTAAGCCACAAGATCCGTCTGGGATGTCGGGCGAAGAAGAAGACCCAAGTCAAGTGTGCCCCGAAGATAACTCAGGATGCGCTTGAGGGCAGCAAGGTGTGGACTTCATGGATCCTGCATATGGAGGCAAACCTGCTGAACTGCATAAGAAATATCTGGCCGAGTAAAGGTGAGGTACTGAAGAGCACCAGCAAGACTTCGAAAATCTGTAGCATTTTCAACAGGGGACCCAGCAGCAGCCAAAACCTTCGGTGTACTGCATGGTTTGCAATCTTCCATGCCTGCACGAGCTAGAATCTCCAAGATGTACTGGCGCTGAGAAAGGAAAAGACAAGTAGGACACCGCTGAACATGCATGCCAAGGAAGTGGTGAAGTTCGCCCAAATCCTTCATAGAAAACTCCTGCTGCAAAGCCTGAATGGTTCGCCGGAGTAGAACCGAGGAGGAAGCAGTGAGCACAATATCATCCACGTATAGCAGCAGATACACAACATCAGTCCCTTGACGATACACAAACAATGAAGTATCAAACTTGGTCTCCACAAATCCCAATGACAGAAGGAAGGCCGCGGAGCGACTGTACCATGCACGAGGAGCTTGCTTGAGGCCGTCGCCGTATAATGATCTGTTCAGGCGACAAACAAAACTGGGATGCACCGAATCTTCAAACCCAGTAGGCTGCACTGAATAAACAGTCTCAGACAGGTTGCCATGGAGGAAAGCGTTCTTGACATCCAGTTGGAGTATAGGCCAGTTCCGAGACAGAGCTAGGGAGAGGACAGTGCGAACTGTGATTGGCTTGACTACAGGACTGAAAGTTTCAGAGAAATCAACACCGGGCCATTGTGTGAAGCCTCGAAGCACCCAGCGTGCCTTGTACCATTCAAGGGAGCCATCTGCCTTGAATTTATGTTTGAATATCCACTTGCCTGAGATGACATTGGCTTGGGATGGTCGAGGAGCAAGATCCCAAGTGTTGTTATGCACTAACACAGAAAATTCCTCTTCCATGGCAGCTCTCCAATTAGGATCAGCAAGGGCAGCGCGGTACGTCCTGGGTACTGGAGATAATGGTGCTGCATGGTATAGAGCCGGGACCTGGAAACCGTGCTTGGCACGTGTACTCATAGAGTGCTGATTCTGAACTGGCAAAATAGGAATGGCACCAGCAGGAAGGTGTGCTGCAGGCATAGGAGGTGATGCTGCAGGAATCTGTCCAGGTGGCTGAAAAGGTGATCCCGGAGGTCCAGGAGACATAGCTGGAGGTGGCCGGGGTCGGCAACTGTACACCTGAGCAAAGCGGCAGGGAGGCGAGGGCCGTGGGATGGGCGGTGCGGGCGCAATGTGAGAGCGCGCGAGAAAGGCAACACCGGGATCGGCGTGGCTGATGCAGCGGAAGTGAGGATCGAAACTAATCTGATACCATGAGAGAAAGTATGCAGCGTAAGATTATAGATTGATTTGGGGTTACATGATACATGTACATATACAGGTAGCGATAGGGGTGGCTTATGGAAACAGAACCAACCTCGGTATCTCTACCATATACAACTCAATCTACACCCTTGTTGGACAAGAAATCCAACGCAGGGCAGCTACAAGGGTTGGCCGCAAGGCCCAGGCCCAGACCAGCCATATACGGCTGTCTAACAGTTCTGCAGTGGGTACAAAATTTAGTAATACAGAACTTGCTCCAATTGCTGGATTGAGTTGACTGTCATGTTAGATTTCTGCATTTGAATTATCAAACAGTTTATTGCAATGTGGAATGATGAGTCTTCACAATAGTTTTACTGGTACCCTATACAGAGCATATAAATATTTCTTCTTGTGAGTGTTTCCCAGTAACAGTTTGTAGTCTGTCTATGTCTATAGAGAACTGTCATGGATGTTGTCAATAGTATAATGGAAGGTGGTCTACGCGTTGGTGTTCTTCTTCAAGGAAAGGATATCCAAGGCGACAACAAGACACTTCTCGTCAAGCTGGGATATGCCATGATAAAAACTAAATAACATAGACTTCACGTTGCAATGCTAACGTGAGCGAGAGTCTCCCTCTGGAGTCATTATACCAGAACAGATGGATTTCCTCACTGCAGATATGGTGGAGCCATTAGCTAGGTAGGTGACTTACAGTACAGTTCTCTTAGGGCTTGTTTGGATGCCCATGTATCCACCTCAATCCATACATGGACATCAAACAAGGCCTAAATGTTCCATGATTTCCAGGATGAAGTGTGAAGAACCTTTTCCTGAAGCTGATGTCGGAGATGACAACCAGCAGTCTAAAGCGCCTTTATCGAAGCCGCTCTCTCTGATCTCTACTCTGTTCATTGTCCTGTTGAGATGGCTTCCCAAGACACATCAGCAAGCTCCCAAGCCATCATCCCTGTTTCACCTGCACCTTCAGACATGGGTGCTCTAGCCATTGTACCGCTTTGTAAGTCCAAGCGATCCGAAATTGGGCAAAGGCGCATAAGGAGGCCCTTCACTGTTGGTGAGGTTGAGACGCTGGTGGGAGCGGTTGAACAGCTTGGGACTGGAAGGTCTGTGTCCAATGAATTTGTTTCAGTTGTGTTTATTTCAGATCACATGTTGGCTCATGTGTTCCTCCTGATGTTGTTTTGTTCAGGTGGAGAGCTGTTAAAACGCTTGCCTTTGACAATATAGAGCACAGGACCTATGTCGACCTTAAGGTGACTTTTCTTAAACATAAGTTCGCATTTTTGTATTATTAATTTTGAGTTGCAATTAAAAGACCTACAAAACCAGTCGTCAGTAGTGCCATTCTGTTTGATTTCAATACTGCGTTGGTGATCTAGTGCTCTGCCATAGCCACCTTACATTTCTCTGTTTAGTATCTGTGGTGTTTGAACATACTTTGAAATACTTGATTGATGAACCAGGACAAGTGGAAGACCCTGGTTCACACTGCAAATATATCCCCGCAACAGCGAAGAGGTCAGCCAGTTCCACAAGAACTTCTGGACCGTGTCCTCGCAGCGCAGGCCTACTGGTCCCAGCACCTCCAGGACAAGCCCCGGGGCAAGGCTCGTCTTCTTCCTGAGATTTGCTTTCCCTAGAAAGGGTAGCGTGTCCTTGTGTAAATGCTGTGCCTAATAGAAACCAGGTAGAAGGGATGTCCAAAGAAACCAGACTAATTTGTGTGTTATTGCATACTTACAACATTTATTGTTCTTTTCATGCTCTGCTCTATGGTCTCTGTTGAAGCCAGGGGTTCTCTCATTTGTGGATAAATAAGGGGAGAGAACCTTGTTTGGCGCTTGTAAATGGTGTCGCAAACTTGTCATGTTTCATAAGCCTTTGACATGCCGCGGTTCTCTTCTCTAGTATGCTTGAGGGCCCCCATGGTAGAATTGATATATTCGGTACTGACGAGGTTACTCAGATTTTGGCCATCTCACTTTAGTAACTACTGATGAGGCTACTCAGTATACTTGGTGAGAATGGCTAATGCTGCTTGCTCAGCTGTCAGTAGTTACTTTCAGTGTATTTATATATAAACGCGTGGCCTGAGATTCAGAATTGACGCAGTGCTGCGGGGTAGATTATGTTGATGTGAGAACTGCATTTCCTGCAGGTTTAGCTTGAAATAGCAAGGGGGTAGATTTTGTTCACGTGAAAACTGCATTATTTCTTGCAGCCTGAGCTTGAACGGTAAAGGTCTGCACGGATCCCAACTAGATTATACGTAGGAATTAGATAAAACAATCCATCCCAACATTTTTTTTGAGATTATATAGGTTATTCGTACTCCAACTAACAATAACTCACCTCTATCATCGAGAGATCTAAATAATCTAGATTATTATAATCTATAATCAAAGGTTATTATAAGCTCACCTATTACCAATATTGCTATAGTTTAATTAGGATCCAAAAATATCCTAGATTATAAACAATTACATGCAGAGTAAATTTTAGGGTCCCTTTGGTTGGATTTTTGGGCTCCTTTTTTGCTTCTAAAAAGCCAAAATCTAATCAAAGGGGTAGAAACCTATGGGTGCTTTCAAGCAAAGGATGTTCCACCCTAAGTTTAATTCTCGCAGCAGGTTTTGCTTCCCTCGGCTGTGGAACCAAAAACTTTGTAGAAATTATCCATGTGCTACTCGTCATGAAGCTTCACCCCTTCGATTCTTTTCTCATTCCCATCAGTTTTCTCCTTCCACCCCTGTCCTCTCCTTCGCCCTCGGCACTATAGATCTAGGCCGGCGGCCGGTGGCGGGTGCTCGCGGCTCCCCCTTCCCCTCGTCCATGGCTGCCAAAGGAGGATGCTCGCCGCCCCCTTTCTCCAGCCGTGGCAAGAGGCTAGGGTTCAACGTCAGCTCTGCTCGAGGAGGCTACATGCCTCGCCAGGGCCGCCCGTGGCTCCCCTCCTGTCGTCCACGACTGCGGCTGGAGGCCTCTTTGTTGCGGCTCTACTCGCGGAGGAAGAAACATGCATGCAAGAAAACAGAGAATTCCGTATAGGGTAGTTGACATGTGGAGTCATTGATGACATGTGGGCCCAATGACAAAGAACCCACAGCATTTCAACCAAATGGTTTTCAACTTTCTCACAACCCATGACCCATAGCTCACATTAGCTTTTTCACATCCCACAGCTTAACCAAACACACCCTTAGTTATTTGCTCTCTGTCTAACGAAATAGAGCCTGTTCGATTGGCTGGTTCGTATCGTTGCTGGTTCGTTTATGTGAGAGAGAAGTACTGTTGGCCGGTTCATGTGAATAGTATCCATATGAGGGGGCTGGCCAGTCAGTCCAGCCAGCCAGCCCCAGCCGATCGGACTGATAGACATGTAAATCATTACTATGTTTTTTATTCTCGCTTTCCAACATCAGACAGCGTGGAACTGCCGACAAAACCCAAGACAAACAAAATGCTTAAATCCTTCACCTAGGTCTTTGGAAACTGAGATCCTCCTAGGATCCTAAACTTTTCTCTGATCAACAGTTCATGAAGTGTCATTTGAATAAGTTATTTAGTTCTCTATGAAAACTTTTCATAGCTAGATCTGCCTTCTCTTTGCTTCCCCATCGGGAGGGAAGAGGACATCAATACGTGGACCTTACAAGCGTTCGCTCCGGAGGGATTTAGAGGATGAGTGGGCGGCCACTGGGATGTGCACAATTTTCTTCTACTTTTGGTGTTCTTCTACCTACGGTCACCAGTCTCCTACCTCCGGCCATCCAGGGGCGGAGCTAGGATTTGAGCATAGGGGGTGGGGGGGCTATTCAAACTTCAAACCGACAACAATCATACATCATGAAATATATATACAACGAGCATAGACAATAAGCAAATAAATCTTTATTTTACAATACAAAACAAGGGTAAAAACCAAAATACTAAATATTACAAAGAAAATAGGAACAAAATTTAATTACAGCTTGGTGTCTAACTTCCACCCGGTCAATCTAATTCTTGGATAAAAAAAAAAGAATCACGGTAATAATAAGAACAAAGAAGATGAGATGACAAGATAAAAGGAATAATAATTCTAAATAAAATAAATGTCGTTGAGATAAATGCACGGGGAGAATAAACAAGCAAAACACTGACTATAGTTATTAACTAGCTAATTATAGGTGTACTTTAGGGATCAACCTGTAGGTAATAGAATCACAACAAGAACACAAGAGATTGAGAAGATAATAAAAAGACCAATTCTAGATCATATAGATACTACTATAGATTAATTCGAAGAAATCATAAACAAATTAGATACAAATTAGCATAAATTAACTAGTAAATCATTAGAGATTTTCTATCTAATGGAAGGGGTGCTGTGGGGGCACCAGATGTTGGAGGTGCCAGGCCCCCCTCAACTCCTCCCTCCCACCGCCACTGCGGCCATCCATGGCGTCTCCCATGAAGCCCCCACCCCGCCCCCTACCTCGTCTCCGGCTACTCCTCGCCGCCGAATCCGCCTCCACCTCCCACCGCCACGCTAATCCCGCTTCGCCGGGGCATCACCATGACTCCTCCGCCCTTGTCCTGCACAACCACAAGCATCACCGCTTGGCCGGTGGCGCCACCCTGTCTCCCCCCATTTCACCTGGCATGGCACATCTTACGGTACAAACGCATATGGCGTGGCAACATAATTTTGTCGCGCCAAGCATGTTGACATGTCTAAAAGGGTTAAAAATAAAATAAAAATAAATGAGGTTATTTGAAAATAAGATGTAAAAAATATTAATAAAAAAAACTTAAGGCGTTACGCGAAAGGGCTATGGCGGCATGCCGTGCCATGGGAAAACGCGTCCACGCTATCTTCGCTTCCCTGGAACGCTCCCGTGTTGAGAAAAAATAGAGCCGTAGGCAAGGATTATTTACAACTTTTGTCAACCTTGGATCCACGTTGGATGGTACTCCGATATTAAGCATGTTGCCTGGCTCACCTCTTGTCTAGGCTTCCATAACCATAATGCGGTTTCAGTGTGTTTGGATGCCTAGGTAGCCCCTAAGTCAGGCTTGTGGAAAGCCAAAAAAAGGGGGGGTGGAGGCTGCATTGTTGTAAACACTCGGACCCTGCGTTTTCGTGGAGCTAGGCTTGTACAAGCATGTGGCTCACCTGTCGGTGCTCGTCACACATGCCACTGCGTCTTCACCGCCGTCGCAAGAAACTAGAAGGGGAGAGAAGGCAGCGGGCGAGGGAGCTTACATCCTCGCCCCAGTCCAGGTGCTTGTAATCCATCTCCCTCAGCTCCGGCCACCTCATTCCGCACGAGATCTGGCTCACCCATCGCTAAGATCCGGCTCCTCCACCACACACTGGCTAAACCAGGCAACTAAACAAAAGCAATTCTAATACTCCATTCGTCCATAAAAAAATAAAATTCTTGCTTTTTGAGAAGTCAAGCCATTTAAATTTTGACTAAACTTATATAAAAAGTACTAACATTCATGATATAAAAAAATACGATTGGATTAGTTATATAATATATTTTTATAATAAATTTATTTAGGGACATAAATATTAATATTACTTACTATAAATTTGGTCAAACTTATACCAGTTTGACCGATACGCTTCACATAATTGCATTCTTTTGTGGACGGAGAGAGTATAAACTATAGCTAGTTAGGTTACATTGCTCAAGCGAGGCTCTAGCTGGCCTCGCTTAAAATTTGAGTCAGACTAGACTAGCCTACCTCACCATACATGCCCTAACCTACGTCTTGACTTGAATTGAGGCCAATGTTTAGACACATACATGTAATATTAAATATAGACTAAAAATAACTAATTGCATAGTTTGCGATTAATTTGCGAGACGAATATTTTAAGCCTAATTAGTCTATGATTTGACAATGTGGTGTTACAGTAACACATGTGCTAATGACGGATTAATTAGGCTTAATAAATTCGTCTACTGACGAATTCTGTAATTTGTTTTTTATTAGATCAAACACCCTCTGCGACACTCTATATGACACCCGCCAACTTTACGGATTTAAACGAGACCAAACCACTGACAGCCTGTTCGGCTGGGATTATACGATCGTAAACGATCGTGGATTATAAACTAAAACAGTATTTTTCTCTCACACCAAATCAGCGAAACCAACCCCGCAGCTAATAATCCACGGTTCACGCCTGCCGAACAGGCCGTGCGTCCGTACTCGAAGCCTGGAAGTGCAGCGCCACACCTACCCGCCGCACAGAACCCCATGCAATCACGCCTCTGGCTTTACTGCGTGGCCCCATACAACATGCAGACGCTTTTCACGTCCTCCTGTTCAAAAAGGCATCCTCCAGGTTCTGGCCTGCCCCTGCCTACGACAAGAAGAACCGGCAGCATGTTCGCTGGCTCGTAAACGATCGTAAATTTCCAGTCAAAAACAGTGTTTTTTTCTCACACCAAACCAACCAGCAGTAAATAATCCACGATACGATACGGTCTCCCGAACATGTTGCGGATCGGGCCAGCAACCGGCATGGTTGCGATTGCGGCAGCCATGCATGGCCGTCGTCTCCTCCTCCCCGCTGCGCTCCTACACCTGCACCTGCTGCTGGTGCCACTGTCGCCAGTGCAGGCGCGTGTGACGGCCCTGATCGTGTTCGGTGACTCCACGGTCGACGCCGGCAACAACAACGACATCCCGACGGCGGTGCGGAGCAACTTCCCGCCGTACGGGCGGGACTTCCCGTTCCCTCCGGGGCGCGCCACGGGGCGGTTCAGCAACGGCCGCGTGGCCACCGACTTCTACTCGGAGGCCCTCGGGCTCGGCCGCGCCTTTGTGCCGGCCTACCTTGATCCGGACTACGGCATCGGGGACATGGCGATCGGTGTTTGCTTCGCCTCCGCCGGCTCTGGGCTTGATGTTGCCACCTCACGTGTCTTTGTAAGAGCATCTCAATTCTCAACATCTACAATATCATTCATTTTTGTTCGTTTCTTCCCATTTCTATTTAAATTTATAGATATTAATATATGTTTCTACAACTTGTTTAATCAAATATATAGAGAAGTTTGACTATAACATAACTGTATTTGGAATGGTGAAAATAGTAGCGAAGATGTTCGTTGACTCGTTGTAATAACAACAAGGGTAAATGCCTTGTATGCAATTGCCAATCTTTAGTTTTCCTTCGTCTTATTGTAGGTTTAGCTATAAGATTCACCACTGCAGACGCCCTCTTTGCCGAGTGCTGGGGCACTCGGCAAAGTCAGCCAAGCACTCGGCAAAGGCTTTGCCGAGTGCCGCACTCGGCAAAGGTCTCTCGGCAAAGATTTTATCGGCAAAAATTTCTTTGCCGAGTGCCAAAAATCGACACTCGGCAAAGTCTTTGCAGAGTGTCAAGCCCGCACTCGCCAAAAAAATAATTGCCGTCAACATTTGACGCCAGCTTTGCCGAGTGCCTAGGGACTGGCACTCGGCAAAATTTGAAAACTAGGAAGTAATATTCTTATAAAATTTGAACGAATATTCTTATAAAGGATATAATAGTAGATTGTGGGTTCAGGAAACTAGGAAGTTGCATCTCGTGGGTTCTTTTCCAATACAAGTTATTGCTCATGAACGAACAATAATATCATAAACTAGCAGGTAACCCGCGCTTTGCGCGAAAAAAAACTGGCCTGTTAGACCATCTACCATAGTCTTTCTAAATTTCACTCTCTAAATCGTTATTTAAAGAGTCATTTGTATAAAAATTGCGCTCTATATCTTTTCACTCTTCAATAATTTTTATGTATCTTATGTTCACTCTAGAAGGTTATTCGCGTTTTGGCTAGCTAGAAATCTGAAATAGAAAATGATTATATTTGAATAATAACCAAATAAAGAAATTGTTGAAGTGTTTTTTTATTGAAATATTTATTAGAGTCTCTTGGAGTTGCTCTTATCTGACAGGTAAGAAAAAGTAATGTACATGAGAACAGTACCGGGCAAACAGTATTCGCTGCAGGACAGTCTATTACGCAATACTAAATCCGGCACATAAAGTGTTAAGAGTTTTTGGCGCGTGATAAAATTAATGCAATATAAAGTTGGACATAACGAACTACGGCACCAATCAAAAAGATTCTCGGTGCGCTCGTGCTGTAGTTCTGGTGATGTCAAGGATGGGGCTGGCAGGTGTCACACCCATGTGTGGCGAAAGGGATGCTGGCACACGAGGGACGGTGTTCCGCAGTGACGCGCTCCAGTGGTGCCATTTTACAGCTGCAGGCGGAAGTACCACGCATGGTACTTTTTTGCTGCTCTTCTCTCCAAAACCAAGGCTTGTTTAGATTGCCTCAAAATTTCAAGTTTTTTCACTCTCTTTTCATCACATCAATTTTTGGACGTATGCATAGAGCATTAAATGTAGGTAAAAAAATAACTAATTACACAGTTTAGTTGTAAATCACGAGACGAATCTTTTGAGCCTAGTTAGTTCATGATCAAACAAAGTTTATCAAATACAAACGAAACGTGCTACAGTGTCCAGATTGCAAAAATTTGCAATCTAAACAAGGCCCAAGAAGATGTCAAGTTTATACGCGCATTGACTATAGGATGCGTCCATAAATAATAGTTAAAAGAGAAATACATAGCACATGAGAAAACTTTCCACATATCACTTTCCTACATGCTGCTACCTCAGTCCCAAAAGAATACAATTTTAGTTAGTTTTGTTAGTTGAAGTGTTCAAAGTTTGACCAACTATAGAGATAAAAAATATCACTGTTTTTAATGCTAAATAAATATATTCTAAAGATATATCTCGTGAAAAAACTAATAATATTTATTTGATATCATAATTATTTATAGTTTTGTATACACGGGTAATTAAATTTGAGATACTTTAACTTGCTACTGTATTAGAATTGTTGTATTCTTTCCTAGATAGATAAATGGAGTACTTTTCAACGACCCTTGGCCCACGGAATTTGAATTTACTGCGATACAGACGTTGCTGAACCAAAATAAAGCCGGCAGCACTTTTGTGCAAGATTCCCGCTGCACATTCGCCGGCATGCAAGCGAATCCTCGTGTCCTACTCGGAAACCCTTCGTCGATCCAGTACCAGTGAGCGGTGTTAACGCAACACAAGTACGGCAACACTCGCACACACATTGTCGATGGCCACTCTCTTTACTCGATTAAAGACCAACTACTTTTCAGTCCGTCCCAAGTAGGGACGCATTCGTATCCAACGTGGATGAAATCGAACTTGATAGCATTATTTATCATATTTTAATTTAAACTTGATAGCATTATCCGATGCAAATACAAGATAGATATTTTGAATTTGCATTCAGATACCTACTTGTTTTTTAAATAACAAGTATATATTTGCTACATGAATAGTTTTAGTAGAACAAATAATTATTCATACAGAGATTTAAAATATGAGTATATAAGGTGGATAGATACAACTCATAAAAAACAACACATTTATTAACAAAAATTTAAATAGTAATTATATAAAAATTAAATACGTACCTAGAAAAGTCAAAACACTTATAATTTAGGACGAAGAGAGTGTCACTCTGTGTATCAGTGACTTTGTTGATACTTTTTTGTAGCAGGGTATAAACATTTTACCATGACCTTCACAGATTAGGCAATCCTTAATTGCCATATTATTGGGTCTTATCTTGTGAACTTTTTCTATGTTTACTTTTCATAATTCTCATATTGGAACGTATTTATATTTCTAATATATTTGATATCCATAGATAATGGGAATTGTAACTTTAAATCTCTTTTATTTCCATGACAAAGATTGAATTACTTGCCCAAACATAAAGAACCTATTTCCCCAATAATAACATGTGTTGGTAATAAAAGAATAGTATAAGGGTACTTCTGGGATAATTTTTGCATAATGAGTGGTGGGTGTTAGAGTACTTTAATAAATTATCTAATTCTCCTAGTAATTTCTAGTCTTTGAAAATTAACATACAAAAACATTTTTTTATCGATAAAATAATATAAAGGTCCGTTTGGATGTAGATATTGGACGGCTAGCATTGAATTGGGTTCCAATAACAAATCAGACTAGTATTGGAAATGGTCTGCAATACAAAATCAGATGTTTGCATGTACATGAAATTGCTATTTAGAATCTCCAAAAGCTACTGGACCATTCATTCACGGATCCCCTTTTCAACCCCGCACGAAGTAGCTCACTATGCATCGCCGCTGCCACCGCAGGTCCGTTTGTCGTAGCTGCCGCCTGTGCTAGCCCTCTCGTTCCCCTTCCCTCCCCCATCCGCGCACATCGATGTACAACCGTGAGCCCGCTCCTTCCCCTTCCCCTTCCCTACCAAAGCAATTCCCCTGCGCTTGTGCGTGCATGGCCAAAGGCGGCAGGATGCGTCGCCACAGCTGCTGGAAGCATGGAGGCGCCAACATGGCCGGTACCCACACGGGTGCTGCTGGACTTGAGGCTTTCTTGCTGGACTAGCGCCACGTCCCGCGCCTGCTGCCGGTGCCGGTGCCGCCGCCGCACTGCACTCTCCGCTGCTGCCGGACTTGAGGAAGAACGGGATCCCCGCACCTGAGGACTTGAGGAAGAAGGGGATCCTGGCACTCAGCGGTGGCCGGACTTGAGGAAGAAGAGGATCCCGCATCTCCTCCACGCGAGCTCTCCTCCGTCCTCCCTTGCGCGACCTCTGGTGGCGGTGGCGGCGGCGGTTGTCGGGACTCTCCAGCGGCGGGGGCAGTCGTGGGGTTCCTTGGTGCTTCCGCCTTCTGATACTTCTTCGTTGCTTTGGTTTTCCTCCGTACTCCAATACGGAGGGGTTCGGTATCGAAGGGGGGCAGTTTTAGTTGTAGTCGAATGCCTTGGTATTGAGGGGTTAATGCCATGTCGCAATGCCAAAGACATCCAAACAGCATAATTGAAAAAACTCAATTCCAATTTCAAATTCCACGTCTCAATATCTACGTCCAAACAGAGTGTAAGATATAATGATTTTCCCCCTAGCAATTGAATACTAGGATCCGTAAGTGATACTAATAATCTCACTGTGATGGTTGGTGATCCAGAGAGTGATCCCCCTGTGGAAGAAACTGGACATGTTCCGGGAGTACAAGTCCCGGCTGGCTGACCACTTGGGCGCCGCCGAGGCACACGCCGTGGTGGCCGGCGCCGTGTACGCCGTGAGCATCGGCACCAACGACTTCATCGAGAACTACTTCGCGCTGACAACGACGCGGTTCCTCGAGTTCACGCTGGCCGAGTACACGGACTACCTCGTGGGCCTCGCCCGGGGCTTCCTGGCGGAGCTCTACGGCCTGGGCGCCCGCAAGGTGGGCTTCACGGGGCTCGCCCCCATGGGCTGCGTGCCACTGGATACAACGCCGCGGCGCTCGCGGACATGGTGCGCGAGCTGGGCGGCGAGCTGCCGGGCGCCGAGATCCGGGTGGCGGAGGTCTACGGCTTCTTCGAGGACATGGTGCGCGACCCGGGGAGGCACGGCTTCGCGCGCGCCGACGTGGGGTGCTGCGGGACGGGCACCTACGAGATGGGGTACGCGTGCGGCGCGTGGGCGGCGGCGGCGCCGGCGGGGACAGGGACGTGCCCGGACGCCGACAGCTACGTGTTCTGGGACGCCGTGCACCCCACGGAGCGCGCCAGCCGCCTCGTCGCCGACCACCTCATCAACACCACCTTCGGCCGCTTCGTCTGATCCAGTGACCTTCCTCCGTCTATTGGTTTCCTAAGCTGTGTATATTGGTTAATTATTACTCACTGCATTCCAAATTGTGTCATTTGGTAATCTTTTCAAGACAAAATTGTGTCAGATGAACTAGTAGTACAGGACCTAGTCAACGAACAACCAGAAAGATAGTTACATAAATTCTCTGCTAAGTACACCGGCACGGCGCGTCTGAGCGTCTCCCTCGAGGGTCCAGGCGTCCAGCTCCTCTCCGGTGCCGCCGGGTGGATAAACGGTCGGTCTCGCCGTTGTGGACGCTCGACATTCCACGGCCTCTCTACCCTGAAAACACAAAGCAAATCGCAGAAATCCGAATCTTAAACCACACAGTTTTTTCCCAAACGAGACAATGCGCACCGGGATGATTTATTTTCGCACGTAGTACCTGCTAGTTATGAGACGGGTTTCCGTGGGACCCCGGCACAGGGCGGCCGAGGCTGGCCCTCGCACCCCTGAACGGCGTCGTCCACCGCCAGCGGCTGGCGTCCATCTGCTGCTGCGATCCCGGTGACACCCGCGGTGCGGTTACCAGCAGCTTCCGGTTCCGGAAGTAGCCGCCGGAGCTACTTCCGGAGCTCTCTGTCGTCGCCCTCCGTGCCGACGTCGTGGTCATAGTGGCACGCGCTGCCACCGTTGACGAGGAACTCAGGAGCGTCAGCAGCAGGAGCAGTACGAGAGTAGGACGGTGTAACAAGTTGGGTATTCTCTCCATTGCTGTTAAGTTGGCTCTCGTGCTGTAATCGCGCATGCAGCCGATCAATTCACTGAGCTTCTGAGGTGCGTGCAGCGTGAGTGAGCAGCTGGGAGGTGGACCTGGAAGTGGTTAAAGTCTTGAACTCAGGGGAGGAAGAGGAAGGTGTGTTTTCCCTCGGACTGGGAGGAGTTGAGTTGAGTCGATGAGATTTGGGATCTGATCTGGAACGGAACGGGTGGAGCCTAATTGCTGGTGGCAGTTAGATATAGGTGGTTAAGTGTGGCATAATTTATTTATTACTGGATGCGACACACTATTACCACAGTGGAGCGTCTGTCATATGCTACGCAGGTTGTGAGGTTCAATTCACATGTAGTTCAGGCCGAGCCAAAGCTCTTGCCATGTGCAACCGCCGTCATATACTCCTATATGCTTACATTAGGTACTCAAACACATGTCTAGAGAAGTAAATTAACCTCTGGTCAAAAGATTCAACCGAGTTATTTTATAGATGAAGTTCTCCAAGTTTTAGTGGTACCTCTGTTCTTTCATCAACAACCTCCACAACTTGGTGTAAAACATACAAACTCTCATCTTGTTGGGGGAAGCCCCCGGTGTTGGGGACCCTCTCTTCGATCCAACCCGTCCAAAGTCACGGCAGGAGAAAAGTGTTGCCCTTCGTCCGGCGACCGTGCTTCCGCCAGCTGACGGGCGCAGGTGTTCGCAAGATTTCGCTAACGGACTTGTAGGTCTTAGGGTTCACGAGCAGAGTAAGAGCTATGAAGAACATCAGGAGGGTGGTGATATGATAAGAGCACCCACCCTCGTGTTCATTTACCGCCGCGAGCGCACGCGTTTTTGCCACGACATGTACTCCCATGCTGTTTCGTCGTGTCTTGCGTTCATCTTAAGTTCTGTTCGCTGGGCTCATCCGGGCAGGTGGGAGGCGAATGTCGGATGGTCCGCCGATGGAAGTTGGCGAGATGCAGGGCGGCGAGGTTAAGGCAGCACCTAGACGGCCCATGGCGAAAGGGGAGCGGGCGAAGAGGCCGAGCTCCCCGGGTGAGGAGAACCAGCAACGACTCCAAAGAGAGAGTTGAGCCAAGTGGACCCCATGCACCGGGGTAGTTAGGTGCCTTCTCAGGGTGATATAACTTTTTGACCAAATTGCCCTCGCACCTGGAGAATATGCGTGGGATCTAGGGAGGCGCGAGGGCAGTTTGGTCCCGTGTAATGTTCCCGAATGCTTATAAATAGTGCCCCATGGGGCATTGTAAGGATGATGAATAACATTCCTGTTACACCTAATTGAGAGAGCTTCGCTCTTGCCCCGTCACCACCATTGGTTCAAGATCATATTCAATTAATGTGTATGCCCATTTACTGATCCTTCCGTTAAGAATTGGCCGATGTAACATGCGCTTAATCACATAGGCCTAGCAAGCAACGATGCATGTACTTGTTAGTAAATAATGTCTCCATTTAGAACTTACATAGTACAACGATAAGCATAACTTTTCAACGTGGACATACCTTGCCTCGAGATCAAGAGGACGTCGACCAATATAAATGAAAGATCTACGACCTTGTTTGAGTTTTGGTAGGACTTGTTCGGTTACGGTTAGCCTCCAATCAAGACAATTGGAGGAGATCGAACTGTTGTCTCTCTAAACCACACCTCTAATTTCTGATGCATACTTAGGACGTCTAGGATGCTAACATAGACTGGCATTAGAATTAAACAACTAGAAAAATGGCGCAACCCACCCGGCTGAACAACTAGAAAAATGGCGCAACCCACCCGGCTGCAATGACAAATTGACAATTGATCAGTCACTGTCACAGAGCCCAAACAATCTGTGACCCCACCCGCCATTCACACAAGACACAATGATCCACACGTCAGAACAATGAACACCAAATGGCTGACATGCTCCGGTCCTGCCAGTCCCACCTAGGCTCCCAGTCCAGGCCAACAACCCCCGCCTCGTCCCCTGGCTGGCCCGACGCGGCTCGGCGCGTACCCTCCCCCTCCTCTGATGGACATGGACGCGAGCCAAACCTGGCCGCCCCCAACCCCCTCGCCGCCGCCCTTCTCCTCCCGGCCCCACGCGTCGCCGTCCCCGCACCGCCGGCGCCGCCGGCACTCCAAGAAGCACAAGCCCCCGCCCGCGCCCGCGCCTGCGCCGACGCCGCAGGGTGCGGACTTCTCCGCGCTCCCGCCGGAGCTCGTCCACCGGGCCCTCGCGGCCGCGTGCGCCTCCGACGTCGCGGCGGCCAGCCGAGCGTGCCGCGCGTGGCGGGACGCGCTGCGGCCGCTCCGCGAGGCCGCGGCGCTGCACGCGTACGGCCGACGCGTCAAGCACGGCCTCGTGGCGGGATCCGCTGCCTCACGCGGGGCCGGAGGGGAACGTCTCGAGACGGAGAGGCAGCGCGCGCTGGGGCTGTTCCGGCGGGCCGCGAGGCTGGGCTCCGCGGCGGCGATGGTGGACGCGGGGCTCATGTGCTGGGAGGATGGGCGGCGGGAGGAGGCCGTCGGTTACTACCGGAGCGCGGCGGACCTGGGGCATCCAGTTGGGATGTGCAACCTTGGAGTCTCCTACCTCGAAGGTATTGGTGGATTTGGTTCACACTTCACAGGGTTAGCTTTCAGGAGACTTGTTCTAGGTGGTTGTAGAAACATTCGGAATTCAGGAAGGGTTACTCATCTATTCATCTTATACATTCTATATATTCATCGTATATATTCTATATATGCGCACTGTTAGTTTTATCTGCAGGACTTTTGAACCATTCTAAGTAATATTTTTTGGGGAAGCTTTCCACTGTGCTCTGTCACTGTCTCTTGATGTTGCGATTCATTTAGTAAACTTTGGGTTGTTTATGTCCAACTCTAAACTATGCATAGTAATAAAGAAAGAATCCACTAATAATTGATCAGTGTAGTCAAGCATGTTATTTATTAGTTAGTTAGCGATAAATCGCCTTGTTAAATCTCAAGGCATTGCGCCTGATATTGCTGCCAAATATTTCCGCAGCTGATCCACCCAAGGCCGAGGAAGCCATTAGATGGTTTTATCCATCAGCATCTGCAGGCAATGCTCGTGCTCAATACAACCTAGGCCTTTGCTTGCAGAATGGGAAGGGTGTCAAGCGGAATCAGAAGGAAGCTGTAAGATGTGATCCCTCTGCTATGTCGGTGTCGCACACCATTTTGCAAAATTTTCCTTACAGTAGAAGTACTCCTGTTTTCTAGATGCATTTTGAAAAAACTAGGAAAATTGATACACTATCCTGTTTATACAATCTATGCATTTATCACACCTCTTACTAGATAGATTAGGAATAGACAACTGATGTTCAGTTGCTGAACTACTGGCTACCCTCTGATCTGATGATGCTGGGATTACCAGGTTCTGTTGAAGTTCTTTAACTCAATTAAGAGAAACTAGTTTTTTCAAAAAGAGTATTGGTTGGATTTCCTTTACCAATGTAATTAGGATCATGTCACCCAGACCAATCAAAATACACTAACCAGCAGATACTGGACTACCAGCAGGTTCCCATATTCTTTGTAGTACTTGAGTTGTACTGTGTAATCTGAAAGACACTTATTAATGCAGGCAAAATGGTATTTGCGAGCTGCAGAGGGAGGGAATGTACGAGCCATGTATAACATTTCCTTGTGTTACAGCTATGGTGAAGGGCTTTCACAGGATCCAGTGCGTGCTAAGAGGTGGCTTCAACTAGCTGCTGATTGTGGTCACAAGAAAGCTCTTTATGAGTGTGGTATTAAACTTTGTGCGGTATGTCTTTACTTATCTCTTTCTTATGGGAGTGCCAGACTTGCTTATCTGGATTTGTTTGTTTCAAAATGTTTGGCATAGCAGTGCACTTTTGTTTCGGAACTGTTCTTCGGGAAGTTGTCATGCGTTGCTTGCCATTATGCACTTCAGTTTGTAAATAGTGCCCACATAAGGTTAGGACATAATGCTTGATTTCCTGGAGAAAATGGAAATGCTCCTAGGGGAGTTCCTGCATAATCAGATTTCCTACTAAACGGCACCATGTTGGCATTGACTTTCCATGTCTTCATTGCAAACGTGTACTGTACATGGGTAAAACTTAAAGTAGCATTGCAGCTGATCTAATTCCTTTGTAAAGGTGATTAGGATTAGAGTGGATGTGCGGGGTAACATAGGCAAGGTAAGTTTCTTAAACACAGATAGTAGTACCTACAGCTCAAATTGACATCACGACGACGACAACAACAACAACATGACATCACGACGACGACAACAACAACAACAACAATAAAGCCTTTAAGTCCTAAACAAGTTGGGGTAGGCTAGAGTTAAAACCCAGCAGAAGCAATCAAGGTTCAGGCACGTGAATAGCTGTTTTTCAAGCACTCCTATCTAAGGCTAAGTCTTTGGGTATATTCCATCTTTTCAAGTCTCCTTTTATTGCCTCTACCCAAGTCAACTTCGGTCTTCCTCTGCCTCTCTTCATGTTACTATCCTGGCTTAGGATTCCACTACGCACCGGTGTCTCTGGACGTCTCCGTTGGACATGTCCAAACCATCTCAACCGGTATTGGACAAGCTTTTCTTCAATTGGTGCTACCCCTAATCTATCACGTATATCATCGTTCCGAACTCGATCCCTTCTTGTATGACCGCAAATCCAACGCAACATACGCATTTCCGCGACACTTATCTGTTGAACATGTCGTCTTTTCGTAGGCCAACATTCTGCACCATGCAACATAGCAGGTCTAATCGTCGTCCTATAAAACTTGCCTTTTAGCTTCTGTGGTACCCTTTTGTCACATAGGATACCATATGCTTGGCGCCACTTTATCCACCCTGCTTTGATTCTATGGCTAATATCTTCATCAATATCCCCGTCTCTCTGTAGCATTGATCCTAAATATCGAAAGGTGTCCTTCCTAGGCACTACTTGACCTTCCAAACTAATATCTTCCTCCTCCCGAGTAGTAGTGCCGAAGTCACATCTCATATATTCAGTTTTAGTTCTATTGAGTCTAAAACCTTTGGACTCCAAAGTCTCCCGCCATAACTCTAGTTTCTGATTCGCTCCTGTCCGGCTTTCATCAACTAACACTACATCGTCCGCGAAAAGCATACACCAAGGGATGTCCCCTTGTATGTCCCTTGTGACCTCATCCATTACTAAGGCAAACAGATAAGGGCTCAAAGCTGACCCTTGATGTAGTCCTATCCTAATCGGGAAGTCATCCGTGTCTCCATCACTTGTTCGAACACTAGTCACAACATTATTGTACATGTCCTTAATGAGCCCGACATACTTCGTTGGGACTTTATGTTTGTCCAAAGCCCACAACATAACATTCCTTGGTATTTTATCATAAGCCTTCTCCAAGTCAATAAAAACCATGTGTAGGTCCTTCTTCTTCTCCCTATACCGCTCCATAGTGATAATAATTTTCACGGCGTGTGCTATTAAATAGATCAACCCTTAATCCCTTGTATTGAAGTATTATTATAAGTTACTTATAAGTTATAACACAAACCCATGCCAGATTCCCCTACTATGATTGCTTCCTAAATTTTAAGATATCCATATGTTTACCTGTAACTCATGTGGCTCTCTTTTCTTGTGATGATGTCTATCTTTTATACAGGCAGGAGACAAGGTCAAGTCTCTCATGTATCTGGAGTTGGCAACACGGCGTGGAGAAACTGCTGCTGCCCACATGAGAGATGTAATATTTGAATCGCTCTCAGTTGTGAATGCACAGCGTGCCATGTCGGATGCTGATAAATGGAAGCCTAGGACACTCCATCCTAGAAGGTGAGGAAATGGACTGTGCCAAAGTGTAAACAACCATATCATATGTCCATACCTATGTCGTCTGTAGCCAAAATTGAAGCACGCCACGGAAGGGTGAAGCAAACATGTATGCTTCTTCAGCATCCTCAGGAATGTTAACCTGCAGTAGCCATACTGTGGCTCTCTGTATAAAGCCATCCATTGGCAGATGTAATAGCAGGAGAACATGTAGTACAGAAAGTTCTGTAGCAAATACTAGTTATGGAGATGTCAGTCCACAACAAAACTGTACATGTGCAAATTGCTAGTTTCATCAGTTTATATCAGAAGCCTGGAGGCTTGACATTTGTGTCTTTCTTATTATATCAGAAATGTCTGTCCATTGAAAGAAAAAGCAGAAATGTCTGGACATAGACATAGTGGCCAAATGTCTGTATCGATGTTGCAATTAAGAGCAATGATGAACTCCGATGAGGTCTCGGTTTTCATGATTGATAGGATGTCTGAAGCTGAGGGATCATGATTGACAGGGTGTCTGAAGATGAGGGCTAAACTAGCATGTAAACAGAAGTTGAGAACTCCATGCATCATGCATGCGCTGCTGTCATCTGTCAACGCCATGGCCCATGGCTATCATGGCTATCAGGCTATGCCAGGCCACCGTCCTGGATCTCGACAATCCCCAGCTTCGAGGGAACGGGGAACCCAGCGATGCTCTCTGCTCGGCTCGAGAGACGTTTGATCGAGATTGGTTTCACACCCATCGTTTTCTAGTCCATTTTCCTCGAGTTCAGGACACCATGAGTTTGGTGCAGCATGTGCTTCTTGTGCTAGTTGCCTTGCCGCCTTTGGGCTCCAGTAGTACATAGGGCAGTTTAGATCTATCTTGTACCATGAGAATTTCTCTGTTCTGCTTCGATTGTGTTTGGTGTTCGCAGAAGGTTTGTGTATATTTTTCTGAGAACAAAGGTTCCCAAAACCTTGAGAACATTTCTGAAATCAATCCAATCTTTCTCTTTCCACGAAAAGTAGGGGGAAAAGATATTAGACTCAAGATGTGGCTCTGTTTTTGTGAATGGATCGCCTCAAATTCCTCCGCCTGGGATGGGAAAGCAGGAGCAAAGCCAAATGGAAAAGGCGTAACGACAAGAACAAGGAACAAAGCAAGGTACGTACGTTCAAGTGCCTGATGAGTGATGACATCTTTTACGGCCAGGGGCTAGTATTTGATTTTTGGATCTATCTCTATCTCGCAGTAATGGAACCCACATGGATCAGGAACGGATAAAGTAATGCATCATTTGGTAATCATGGGTGGCTCTCTCTGTTTATTGTAGAGCCATCCGTGGATAGAAACTCTGCTTAGTAGAGAAAAGGGGCAATTCTTCAGCTCTGTTGGGAAGCAGTACAACTGTAAGCTCAAATTTGAAAGAAATTCGATCCTGAGCAGTGCCTTTTTTTTTCCTCCATATTGATCCTTTTGTTTTTGTTTTGAGAATTCCTCCATATTGATCCTGCTTTGACTAGCATACATCAGATGATCAGAAAGGCTAGACTGGGGACAGAAACCTGTGGATAATGACCAGGAGTTGGTCAACGTGGGCCAAAATGTCCTGTGTGGATCCACCAGGCTTTGTGATCAGATGAGGGGGCCCAAGATAAGATGCACTGTACTGCACAGTCAAAAACTGACGTGCGGAGAGAGAGAGAGAGAGAGAGAGAGAGATCGCGGACCGGGAACAAGATTCCCAGTACTACATTTGTTATCCTGCTGAAGCACATGGTTGGTTGCCTTGGGTCGAAGCCAGGGACCTGTGCCGGTCACAAAAATTCACGCTGTCACATGTGTGTAGCATGCACGAGAGCATCCCAGCAAGCAAGCTGAGTCAGTGTCACCAACTCTACTGTCTACTCTAATCAACAAGGCAATCAAGCAGGGGAAATCCTCTCCCCAAGCTGTCTTTATAAACCAGCTGCTCCCTGCTACTCTTCAGTGCAGAGCCACACGCCCACACTAGTCCCCATCTGACTCTCACAAGTTCACACAGCTCCCGGCTCCATCTTGGTGCCAGTGCTCAGTGCTGTGCAGTGCATCAGAGCAAGATGGGGGGAGGAGATCGGCCATCTGCATCGCTCCTGCTCTTCTCGCTGGGGCTTGTGCTCCTCTACTTCACCTCAGGTGAGCTCAAGTCCACTACTATGCGCTCAACTAGAAACAGCGTTCGTCTAAAGTGGGTACTCATCTCTCTGGGTGTCTTGCAGGCAGCACCGTTGGTCTCGTGGAGGGACAGGTACTTGAAATCTCCAATACGCCTTTGCTCTTGACGCTATACTACGCCTTTGAAATCTTCAATTCTCAAATGAATAACCTGGTTGTGGTTGGATTGGATCTGCGTGCCGACGAGTGCAGAAAACCTGGTGCATCGCCAAGCCGTCGGCGTCGAACGAGATCCTGGCGCAGAACCTGGTCTACGCGTGCTCCCAGGTGAGCTGCGCCGTGATCCACAAAGGCGGGCCGTGCTACTACCCGGACAGCCTCGTGTCCCGCGCCGCCGTCGCCATGAACCTCTACTACGCCTACAGCGGCAGGCACCCCTGGAACTGCTACTTCAACAACTCCGCGCTCGTCGTGCAGTCCGATCCAAGTACCACACCCTCAATCCCATTGCTGCCCCCAGTCTTCTCTGCGCTCTCAAATCCTTCATTCATTCATGTGCCATCTGATCGAATGTCGCTCGCTCGTTTTGCAGGTTATGGTTCGTGCACGTACTACTGAGGAGCCGAGGGAGCCAGGGAGAGCGGTGCCGACTGCCGATTGTGGCGGCGGCGCAGACTAAACTACTGATGATGATTGATGCAGACGAGAGAGATCCATCGTGCGCGACTGCATTCATTTGTATGCGGACTGTTGGTTTTCTAGTCTAGAGTGCCAATTTACCAAGTAGAGATTGGTAGCCGTGATGCAGTTGACATTTGGAGATTTCCAACAAACTCATTGATATTCCGTTCAACGTGCTTTCAAATTCAAATTCATTGCAGCGGTGCTGCATAGATTTCCCCTTTTTTTTCGCCACTTAATTCAAACATGGGAATCGATGGATTTGCGTGTGATGTATTCATTCCATCGGCCGTACAAAAAACACAAACGATCCACTCCAATCCAATCGCGGCGGCGCGCTCTCGTCTCCTTCACTTCACCGTGACCTACCCAAACGCGGCGGCGCCCGAAAGCAACCCCGAACCCACGACGCGTCGCCGCCGCCCGGCACCACTCCTGTCCCCGGCGACTGCCGACGGCACGATGCGGCAGCAGCCTTTCTCGCGGCACGCCGGCTTCTTCGCCTCCCTCCAGCGGGTGGGCCCCGAACCATTCTTCCTTCCTCTTCTCTTCTCCAATCGCACGGCCTCCTCTGACGCCGCGAGCGCTCTTCCTCTGCTCTCCAGGTGGAAGACCGGCTGGCCTCGGAGCAAAATCAGGAGCAGAAGAAGAGCCCGCCGCCGCCGCCGACAACGGCAACGGCAACGGCGCGCCAATCCGAGGCGTCGCCGTTCTCGGACACCATGACCGCGTCCCCTCTCCTCTTCCTCGACCCAGCAGCACCCGCACCAGCGCCCAGCGGCACGGCCGCGAGCCGCGACAGCAGCAGCCCGGCGCTGGACTTCCTCACCGCCGTCACCGAAGAGGACCAGCGCATCCAACAGGATGACGACGACGACGACGACGAAGATGACGGCGGCGGGGAGGACATCGCGCGGCTCATGGCGCTGCTCGGCCTGTCACCGCCGCAACCGCAGCCGCCGGGGGGCGGCGACAGCAGCAGCCGCGACGACGACGGCGACGGAGGCGGGTGCGACTGCAGCGGCGCCGACGGGTTCCTGGCCAAGGTCGTGGGCGTGGTCGGCCCCAAGTGCGACAGGGAGAAGGCGAGGCTGGACGCCTGGATCCGCCATTACCACCGCGGGGAAGGCGGCGGGTGCAGGGAGCCCGCGAGGCTGGCGCACCTGCTACTCGCCAGGGCTTCCGCCGACACGGCGGCCGTTGCGTTTCCGGCCAGCGTCAAGGACTTCTTGGACCACGATCCGCCGCCACTGCAGTTGACGGACGAGTCAAAGTGATGCAAACGGAGACACGGTTTTGTGAAACTGATCGAAAAGGCTGGCAGTAACAGGATGCGCTTCTCTTCTCAAACTAGACTAGATGGCATTGTTTTGGATCATGTAAATTGAACACTGTAGCTGCACCTTGGATCATCCATCTCAAGCTTTATTTTTTGTTTCACCCTGGATGACGTAGCAATGTTTTGGTTTTTGGTTTCTGACCTAACAGGATAGGCAGTAATTTCCCTGTGAGGCATGAATAACATGATACTATGATGTTATTTTTGTATTTGTAATAGCAGAACTAATGTTCTGTATAAGAAGTCCAGAAACGTTCGTATATGGACAGTGCGGCCAACAAGCTGAAAGTGGCTTCAGAGTTCAGAGTGATTAATAAGGCCCCATTCGCTCGGAGGAATTTAAAGAAATCCGGAGAAATTTATGAGAGAAAATCAGTTATGAATAGTAACTTTTAGCCGTGAACAGTGCAATTTTTGCACCATCCGAACGGAGCCTTATTAATGATGATGACATCAGGAGAGCCAAACTGTACCGAATGTGCGCGGTTTTTGCACGAAGGTGGTGACATTCAAATAATGAGGCGAAATTGTATTGAATGCACAAACAGGGAGGCAAAATTATATTCAATGTGGTATTAAGCAAGTCCAAACAGTACTACTACTTTATTAGTACGCAAGCAATGTAATACTTCACAGCGCGCTGGTCGACAATCATAGAAAACCGTCTTTAGAAAAAGAAAAACAAGTGTAGCAAACAGAGCGGTATTACCAAGCAGCAAACAAACGGATATCGAGCAGTTTTACTTTTATTCGAGCAATAGGATAAAATATAGGCAGAGCAGCCGCGCGCTGATTTTTCCCTTGGAAGAACAGCAAAGCTCACAGCTTCGAAATGAGGCCATTCTGGATGGCCTTGGGCGACTCGGCTTCCTTGACATCCGCATCAGACGAGCTTGAGGCACGTCGACCGCAGGCGAGCAGTTGAAGAATCCATGTGGCTGTAGTCATTAGAAACGACGGAAGTTAGTCTAATATCTCTATGTGAAAGCAACAAAGGGATCCTTTGGTTCACTGCCTATGACAGAAACGCTGAAAAGCTCAAAAGCTGATACCACGAGCATGAAGCCTATGCGCTCCACCGGCATGACTGGCCAATCTTCCAGCCTTGGGATATGGGTGAGCCCAAACACATACCTGCCGAAGCGGAACACGGTTTTATCAGATTTTGCAACATAGCAGTAAGCTAAACAAACAGTTCCGATTTCTGCATAACAGTAAGTGGTTTTCAAGAAAACGGTCTGTTATGAAGAAAGTACCAGAGAACAATATCGGTTTCCTCCAGAGGCCTATCCTTCTTGACCCATGTTGGCAGACCCTCGTGGATGCGAGGATTCTGGTTGGGAAACTCCCCTCCAGGGAACATCTCGTCACTCTTGTATTGAGTGACCCAGAGATTGTGCTTCAAGAACCCAGCCCTCCTCAGGAATTTCGCCTCAGGCAGAGCCAAAGGCAGGCAGTTCGAACCAGGTACGAGCCTGTAACCAGTTGGCTGCCCGGTCCGATTTACAGTTCGTGTGTTGCGTACCTGAACGCAATGCAAACAAGTAAAATGAGCAATCAACAATAGTGCAATTATTAAGGACAATTATGCTCATATTTGTTTGATGCAAGATCATTACTGGTACAAATACTAATATGAACATGCAAAGGCAAAACAAAATGCATCCGTTGTCACAACTCAGAAGAGAGCAGCCAGCCAGTAATTTTCATCATTATTGAATTGCATATAAGCATAAAGATAATGACCAGGTATTGTATGCACAATTTAATGGTACAACAATACTGGTAGGAATAACAAAATGTTAAAACATGAAAACAGAGCTCTTACAATCCAGTGGCGTGCAGATGAAGGGTCGCAATCACGCATTGCTTGCAACTCAGACTTCAGCAACTTCTCTTCAGCATAGAAAGCGTTATTATGCACATTATGTGTGCCTGCACTTTCCACTTTAACATTAACCTCAACCACCTGCACAAGAAATGATAAATCACAATGGCTTTGATATAATGGATATCAAAAGATACTGCATTGGATGAAGGCACAGATTGATATCATGCAATGCACAGTGGTCTTACACACTTGGCCTAAGAAGCACATACGTTTATGGAAATTACATGGTTGAACAAACACTTTTTTGGTAGCCTGAAGTAACTTTCATCTAAGTAGTTTATGTAACATTAGCAGGTACGGTCATTTCGATTTCTTTTATCTGATCTGATGTAAAGATATAATTGAATTTTGTGTGGTCCCATTCAGATTGCAAACTATTTTTTGTGGGCAATTTGATAGATATAAAAAAAAGGTGCAAATAGATGGCAACCCCCACCTGGTTATGAGCCTCATTAGGCTTGCAATCAACAGCCATGTCGATACGGGCAACAAAGAAATGCTGATGAACTGGTGCATACAGACCAGGGGCAATAGTTGTGCCATATTTCCTTGATTCCCCAGGCATCAGGGCCCCTAAGCTGAGAATTCCAGTAAGCTTTACTTCTGCTTCTATTTTTCCATCCTGCAACCAAGAGGATCAACAAATAATTGCAAAAAATTGAAGCTTCAGAAAATTTTAACGTTCAATCACTAAAACCATCAATGAACTGTGATCTTTGCAGTATCAAAATTGAACTCTTTCATGCATAACTAAGCAAACTTATATAGATAATATAATATATACTGGGCATTAAGTAAATGCTACTTACTTTCTGACATTATAAGAGGAAAACCAATGAAATAGTTACCTGATAGAAGTGCCAGTAAAAACCATACTCGTAGTTTGCAACTGTACAGATAAATGAAACAGTGAGCCTCCTTGATCGCCTTACTTCTGCTAAACCAGTTCTCCAGTCTTGGTGTTTCCAAAGGATCCCATGATCCTCCTCATGCAAACAAACACAGTTCTCAATTGTCTCCACACCACCAGTGAAGTTTGTGAAATGTGCATCAAAATATTTTATGTAGCCCAAGCAATCACATCCCTGTACAAAAAGGTTAAAGAATATAGTCAAATCAAAGCAACATTAAAATGTAGAAGAGGATACTCATCAAGAACCGAACAAAATAACCTTCTTAAGAGAATGAGCATTTTTTCCAAGTCCATCTTCTCCAGCATCAAATGCATTCTTGCGATAATGTGGTTCATTTGGATCTCCATAAGGAACAACCATCTCAACAAAGCTCAACCTATGTGCTATAGGTCTACGTCCACGGCTACCATCAACGTAAGCAACAGAATAGATAACCAAACCCTCTTTGGGGGTGAAGCCAATACGGAAGTTCCACTGCCATATAGCCATTAAGTTGTTATTTATTTCAAAAAAACATTATGTTAATAATAGCATTGCAGTTCAGCAAACAATTACCTTCTGCCATTCCACAAAATAGCCATTAATGCGGAAACTTGGACCCTCAGGCTGATTGATGATAAGTGGTTTTACATCACTTCGATCAACACCACCTCTTGTTTCCCCAGGAGTATAGTTTCTCAAATGATCTGGAGGGGGTAGAGGAACCAACTTCCTATCTTCAAACTCTATCACAGCATTATTCTGCATATCAACAACAACATAGATTCCTTCGACAGGACGAGCATACCCATTCTCCATGGGGCTATCACTCTCAGTTCTGCAAAATATCAGAGGCTTGCCAAGTCTGCGACTGGGAGCATCAGCTTCGTTGTAGTAGCCAGCACACCTGACAATTTAATAGACAAAGTTTTAACTTTCCTTTCAATTTACAAATATGATAATGCAAGGTGCAGCATAGCACAATATGAAAATTTTAGCCCGAGAAATTCCTTATAGATAGATTACCAAGCATCCACCATAACAAGATCCATGTCATCCACACCTCTTCTCTTCATAGCTTCAATAAATGGAGGGTAACTTTTGACTGTAGCCTCACATTCAGCATACTCCATAGCATCCTATCAAAGATAAAATTTTAAAATAGTAAAGTAAAATAATCCATGCCATCCGCACCTCTTCTCTTAATAGCTTCCATAAATTCAACTAGCCGAGTAACATGAATGTTTGAAAAATACAAACAGATACCATAGTGAATGAAATAACAACAGGCCATTACATACAATTACATGGACCAAGTCATCGGCAGATTGAGACAAATAGTCATAAGGCATGAAGAATTCTGAACAAAAATTAGTCGACATACCATTGCAGGTTGAACATCTGGAACAACTTCAGATGATATCACTTTCCCTCTGTGATGTCCACCCCTAGTAGCTGCATGCACTTCAGATAGTTCCACTATCCAAATGCTAGTCTCATTTGATTGTTTATTGTAGACAACAAGTCTGGCCCTCCTAGGAGGTAACCTGCTTGGAATAACAGCAGAACCTTTGCTTCTAGGGAGCAGTGATGGCTGGAAAGGTGGAAAGAAGTAGGCATCGGCTAATGCCACAACATTCTTTTCTGGCTCCAACAGCACAGCTTCAACAAAGCGCATGCTGTCTCTTTCCTACAATCATAGAACTTTTCTTGTCAAATTCTTATTTTCAAGATTGCATGGAAAAGCATATGTATAACTTCTGTTGGCATACCTCAGGAGATCTTCCAGCAGCTCTTACAGTTGCTACAGCAACTGCAATTTCAGCAGCAGATAATGGATCTAAAGGGTGGCACCTCTGGGCTCTTGTCATTATTGGTATCCCTGCATTTTTTTTGTCCAGAAAAACACTAGTTGAGTTAACACATGGTTCAAATAGCATGTGTCTATCTAGGTTATAGGCTGTTAAATAAATGGTAAATACAGAGAACCATGTCAAGCAGGGTTGTCAAATTTTCGCGATGACCAATAAGGAAGAATATAGGACAGGTCATGCATAACGAACTTCTTACACAAACATCTTTCAACGAGTTCTAAAATATTACATGGAGCAAACATCAATCACAAAAAGCCATGAATAAAATAAGGAGAAATATTAGCATAGGTCAAGCTTTCGAAATAGATAATTTGGCATGTGCTTATCAGGGGTCAGAAGAGGTGCCACCTAAATAGATATATCTCTAAGGCAAAAGATAAGAAACTGTACTGGCGTTGACCATACAGTATAAATGCAAGTCTTAAAATATTTTGTAACCAAACCAACCAGTGCCCATGTCCTGGATCTAGACATCTAATTGATGTCCTTTTTTAAGTTCACAGCCAAAGTCACCAACACTATGACCTCATTAGATTAGGCACAGTGTATGAACCATTGCTCATACTTCACTTCTTCATAATAAAGAAGCTGATGGTCAACAGGAATAAATCTGGTGATTTATAAATGCAAAATAGTTATTTCCACAGAAAATCCATGTCATGTCATTAAAAAGGTACTACGCAGATTTTTTGTGAAAAAAGAAAAACTATTTATATTTTCCACGTTCGCGAAAAAAAGTGTTATACTTTCCACCAAAAGGACATCTGCTCAAAAATTTGGTAACCATAAGAGAATATCAATAAGAATCTCTCAAATCCGTAATGAAATTTTTGGTTGACACTTGATACAAAAGTTAATGTTGATATAATGTCATTTTCCCGTTACAGATAAAAAACAACATCGAAGTCAACATCACCTCGAGCATCCGGTGAAACTTAAAGGGTAGCAGCATGCAGACAGGCCAGACAACACAATAAAGTGCAAAGGTAGCGTGCACCTCATCAATTCAGAATCCCCAAAAACGCTACTACTACACAACGAGATGTGGACTGAGTGAAACAACATGCACCAGCAGCTAATGCTAGTGGCGCATACATGAAAAACGTGAATGCCAGAAACTCTGTCGACCTATATTATTGATCCAAAAAAACTGAAAAAACAAGCAGCATATACGCCCGTTGGCAAGCTGACATCATTTATCCAAATTGGGACATTTTCCTCACTTCCCTACCGGAAAGGCAGAAACCTCATCATATACAGAAGTAAAAAACAAATTGATCACTACAACTAGTGATCAAAGAAAAAGAAAGCTGGCGCACCAAACTGTTATCGAGCACAGTTCTGAACGGTAGGCTACAAAGACTGACTATACTTTTAGATTTTTGTGGCAGCTAAGACCCACTAGTATTTTTTTTTTCGCGAGCGTAAAGACCCACTAGTATGGCTGTGTGGCCTTAGCCATCACATCAAACCCCGTGCTCCAATCATCACTTTAGCCAGATGGGCAGAGTAAACCACGATTTGCCTCTACAAGATCTAATTTGCACACGCCCAGATTCCAAGACCTACTAATCTGTACAATCTGGTGGCATGCACACGAGAACTACTCCTATGTTGTTGGTGCAAATATCATCATCCATCCACGTATCTGAACCTGGCAGATCCTACAAACTAATCTGCATCCTCTGCTTTGCATGCGCACGAAACGATGCACTCTGTAGCCTGTATACAGCTACCACCACTAAGATTGCGTTTCCTCAATCAACATCTAACCTCACGAAAAATCGTGATCGGCAGAAACACCCACCATGGCATACCTCACCTAATTTAAGATCCATGCACGGCAGGAAACTCCCGTAACATTAGTCATGACCCAATCAAAATAGGATCCGACTTCATCGGGACACAGAGACGGAGATGGAGGGAGGTGGCGGCGATTTCAGATACCTTTGGAGGAGGCCTTCGCTGTGGTGGGCTGGACCGCGGCGATCTCCTCGATCACGGCGCCGCTTGCGCCTGCGGCCGATGCCGCCACGCGCTCACCGCCTCCCGCGGCGAAGGCGACGACCTTGCCGACCGGGGATGCTGCGATCGCGCGCATGGGGATGACAGGGGCGCCAGCGACACGCGCAGGCGCATCGCGGCTGCAGCATACCGACGCCTTTTCCTTAGCTGCGGCCATTGGAGCGGGTTCGCGAGCTGACCGTGTCCGTAGTCTCCTCCTCCGCCTCCGCCTCGCCGGCTCCCACGATCTGACATACAGCACAGGCCTCCGCCTCCCGCGCCTTCTGCCCCCTCCCGTCTCCGCCGCCTCCTCGTCGCCGGGGCACTCGCGCGTACGGGTCGGGGCTAGGGTTCCGGGAACCCTAGGCAAGGGAGCGGGGTTCTCTCCGTCCGCGAGGAGCCGCCGAGGGAGGGGGGAAGGAAAACTGCAGCCGGTGGGAGACGGGGGTTTGCAACGGTGGGGGTGGTGGCGTTGGCGGTGAGAACTGGGAGAGGGAGAGTGGTGTTGGGTTATGTGCCGCGTCGGGTGATTTGGAGAGCGATGCGTCCAGGACTCGGGGGCTCACGTGGATTTTATAGAAGAGTCTATCTATCTAACACCTGTTTTTAGCAACTGGGTTCCTAATTTTGGCACTATAAAAAAGAAGATTCCCCGTTACATCAAACTTACGGTACATGTATGGAGTACTAAATGTTGACGAAATCAAAAACTAATTGCACAGTTTGGTTGTACTTTACGAGACGAACATTTTGAACCTAATTAGTCAATGTTTGAACAATTATTATCAAATAAAAACGAAACGTGGCCTCCCTGAATTTGGCGCCGAATCGGACACCAAACTAAACGTGGCCTGGAAAGACATCCATAGATATTGTTCATCTTTCTCCTCTTCTCTCTTTCTCCTTGGCACAAATCATAAGTAACAAATTATAAATTGCAAGTAATAATTTTTTTTTATGAAAGGACAAAGACAAAATTTGGTGACAGCGCCGGAGTTGAGGAAGAAGAAGCTCGCCGGAGTTGGGAAAGATGTCGGGCGCGGCAGCGGCGGCGCGGGGACGGGCAGACGTAGGCACAACAGTGCAGGCGCGGCAAAAAAAATTCGTGTGCCACCGGGTGATGAAACACCTGGTTGTTGTATAGCATTTCCGTTATAGGCCTTGTTTAGTTGGCGATTTTTTTTGAGAAATGGTACTGTAGCACTTTCGTTGTTAGTTGGCGATTAGTGTCCAATCATAGTCTAATTAGGCTTAAAGGATTCGTCTCGTAAATTTCGTCTAAACTATGTAATTAGTTTTATTTTTTATTTATATTTAATGTTTTATGCATGCGTCCAAAGATTCGATGTGATAGAGAATCTTGAAAAATTTTGCAAAATTTTAGGAACTAAACAGGCACGAGAAAGGTCACGAGTGCATGCGCTGTGGATGGGCTGGATTCTTCTGGGTTTTGCGTTTTCTTTCTCCTTTTCTCGTTACGATTGGATTGTCGCTTTTGGATTAAGGCGACGGGGACTCTTTATATGGGAAAAATTCTAGAATCTACTTCCTCGGTCCTAAAATAAATATACACTTAGGCCCACTTTCTAACACACTTATATTTTGGAAACAGTGCAGAATAGTTTTGTCCCCATGAAACTCTCTGTACCCCTATAAACTTTCATCTATCTCTCTTCATCAATACGTGTCATGCCAGCATATTTAATACCTATGAAACTCTACCAAACTCCCACTGAGATTGACCTAGAATTTGTCCTATAATAAATGCACTTTTAAACCATGAACCACCACCTAACGCTAGTACCAATGTTGCATGTTACTAGTGTATCTTTTGATATAAGTATATATAATTTTGTAGCAGCATTAGTTTTTTCATTATATCTTAGGAGTTTACTTATTTTAGACTGAGGGAGTACTTCAAATTTGTGTACACTTGGATAAAAATCATTTCACTTTTCCATTTCCATGGGGAGCAAGGTGTAACTCGTAAAAATATACACTATGTTTAGGAGGCATTTAGTAGAATTTCAGATTCTTTAAAATAATATCTTAGGTCCAGATGCTCTCTCTCATAATCAAGTTATTTCTCTTGCTAAATAGAAAAACAAGGATCGGTTTAATTTGTTACCTTCTAATTTGTTTTGTTTAATAATTACCTTTTTTGGTTGATTATATTGACAAAGAAGAAGGCATCGACGAGACAAACAATAGCCCTCGAGAGGATACACAAAAAAACAACAACAATAGCTACAACAACAGTAATAACTAAGTAAGACAAATCTACCAATGAGAACCCGCTCTCAACATGAGTGACCAAAAAAACGCAACAAAGATATCCACCTAAAGAAAGGACAAAGAAACCTCTACTACATGTAATGTTTCTCTTACCCAATCGAAAAACTAGAATGATTCAAATTGTTCCCATGTAACTTTTCGAGTTGTTGGCAATGGTTTTAGTGATCTTATCGTCTCTCGTATAATGTTTTATGTTCAGCAACAATTCTAGCGACTATGTTACGATCTCCAATGCTGCGTGATGACAAAAGCACCATCCATATCTTGGTTCTAATGTTTTAAAGGTACATATAGTAATTTATTATACATCTTATATTTTGTTGCGTAATATTTCCTCTATCCTAGAAAGGGTACAATTTTATGTTCGTTTCAAGTTAGACTATCTTAATTTTGACTAAAGTTTATAGAAAATAGTATTGATATTTACAACTTTAAATATGTATACTGAAAATACATTTCATGATAAATCTAGTATTAGTACCTTTTTATGCAAATCTGATAAAACTTAAAAGTGTTTGACTGAACACGACTCTAGAACTACATTCGTTTTGGACAAAGATACTATGTTCATTTGATTTATCAAGAGTAGGTATGGGCCGGTAAGCAATAGTTGCAATCGTGCAAATAATTTTTTGGGTTTTCTTTCTTCCTATATATATCGTTGTACAATGATGATGTTGATGGAATGGAATGCCAACTCATGCACACAACCATAATAAGACATAAATCTACCTAGCATTGTGTGGCAGAACTGCCTAATCTAATGCCTCCCAGGAGTACTTGTCTTCCATTAGACACTAAGTACTCAAGGGAGGACACTAAATTACGCAGTTCCATCGAGCACACCCTAAGGGAGAACCCAAAAATCCACATTTTTCATCAGGATCATAAATGAGAGAATAAAACCTACAATATTCATAAGTCATTTCTTACATCACTTTTCATGCAACATCAGAGTATAATATTTATTGTTTACAACAGCAGAATAACCATGTTATCAGAGTTTCAGCGAAAGCAAAATCATTTAATGATAAGTTAAACATTAACATGATGATCCGTTATATACAATATAATAGGTTATAAGTTTTTCCATTGTAAAACCTTTTGGGTGGAATTTTCAAATAAACTCTATGTCTGCAACGTTAAAGAAATCATCGCTGAGCCAACCAGGAGGTTTCCACACACAAGTATCCACTCCACATGTTCCTGTCACCTGCATTAGGGTAGAACAAACCCTGAGTACTCAATTATACTCCACAAAACTTACCCGTCGAGAGAAAAGAAAAGACTCCAAGGATATGCAAGGCTATCTGGCTTGTGGATTTATTGCATCTGCATGAGCATTACTAAACGTGCGTCCTTATATTCAATTTTATTAGCAGTCATCATTAACTCATTAACTAACCATTCTATGTAAGCACATATGCTACTTTCCAGCAGGTGGTAAGCAATCAGAACTATTTTATCATCTTTCATATTCCAGTTCTTACTACGGTGCTAGATCGTAGACAAGTCGTATCATATTACACGACGATTCGCGAACCAATGTATCCCAGCTGGGTATCCCAAAACACATGCCCCATTTGTACCCAGATACAAGCAGGACCAACCCATCACTCTCCTGTCAAGGGGTCCAGGTCCTCGTCCAAACTTGGACTCCAAACCCCCACTCCTAAGTCCCGGACTCAGTGTGGTGCTTAGACCTCCACCATTCCCGCCTCCAATCAGTCGGTCCAGACAGAGTCGGAACCTACGATAAGAGAGCAATGAGCCTTCCCGCTCCATAAACAAGTATGTGCTCAGGATAATAAGTCTATGACCTGACTAGAATCCAATGCAACGGTATGTCCTTACTCGACACAGACGGGACAAACGCAACCAGAGCTTCGCTCGGTTACCTAACCAAGTACAAATCCAAATCCAAAGTATGGCCCCACCCCGTCTTCAATTATTATCCATACATATTCCATATGATAGTTACATGATAATAGTAACAATAATATATTTTCTATCTCACGCGAGTGACAGGCAATCACTCGACTTCTACTGGAGTCCTATAGCATAGCAATCTATATGATCCTGTCATACTAGTAAAACTCATAGGATAAGAATATATATATATGCAAGTGGGTTTCATTCAACTCCTTAAACTTAACGCACAAATATAAAATAAAGTGCAGAATAATAGGGGTTATGCACCATGACTTGCCTAGGTAAGATATAATCAAGTTAGCTTCCATTTTGGTGGCATGATCACCAAGTCACCATCTGCTTCCGCTACTCTCGATAACTCCATAATCCAACATCGCTCCTATCACGAAATACATGGATGCAACGCAGGGATGTAAATAATCAATGGCATCCGCAACTCTAAAATACGATTACATCTCGCAAGCTAACGAGCTAGCTCTAACGACTAACGTACTAGACCACGTATCCAAGTTGTCGAACTAGGCGCTAATTTCCCACAATGTTCTTGATTTAAACATATATTTTCAAACTAGGGCTCATTTAGCTATCTTAGCGAACTAATTATTATGGAGCTACAAAAATTACAGTGGTCACCTAATAATATTAGGAATCTACTATAAAAATTTTAGGGTTAGTATTACTACCAATTCATCACAATAATTCCTACAAGTTCATATTTTACCCATTTTAAGTGCTTCAAATTAATTAGTCTACTCTTGAAAATTCTATGAAACTAAGTGAACAAAATACATTAGCAGATAGGTCATGATTTTAGGAACCTAACAAAATTAGTTTCACAATTTTTGGACACCTACATGATTTTATATGATTTACCAAAGATCAGCTAAAAAATGTAATTAGAAAACCATTTAACTAATTTGCTTAAAAAGAAAAGGCGATGAGCCCAGCGTG